AGAGTTAACAACCACAGCTAAACACACAATGTTGGTGATGACATTAATCTACAGCAATATAGTAAATGGCGTCGTGGATGGCGTGGTACATTGCTCGTGTGTACAGTTATTGGTTTTTCTGATCCAGACTTGCGTATTTAAAGGCCACCATGATATCAACATCTGGAATATGTGGGCGCTCGATCACATTCGCCCACACACCGCGAACACGACATTGACGTGTTGATGTTGTCACTGAATGTATAGGTTTCGCAGCTTCGAAACCCGTTGGGAACACACGCTTTTGGTTGGTTGGTTTACGCTGCACTCAGCAATATTACTGCTTAATGACGGCGGTCTTTGTAAGTAATCGAGTCTGGACCAGACAATCCAGTGATTGATATCATGAGCATCGATCCACGAAATTGGGATCGATGACTATGCTTGTCGTAAGAGGCGACTAACGGGATCGGGTGGTCAGGATCGCTGACTTGGTTGATGGATCGATGCTCATGATATTAATCACTGGATTGTCTGGTCCAGACACGATTATTTTACAGACCGACGTCATAATAAAATAAATTAATATAAATCTGTCCCCAGAGAGAGGTACATGTTTGTTTGTTGCTTATGACATCAAGGAGTCTTGTACCTACTCTCCGTAGCGTAGAGGATGGGGCATCTGCGCAGAAAGCGGAATGTCGGTGGTTCGATGCCCCGGAGGCGTCATACCAAAACACGTCAAAGATCGTACTTGTTACCTGCCTGGAGTACAACATTCAGGGGATAAAACAAGGACTGGTCGGCAAGAAGTCTGTGTAATGTGTTCGAGTAAGATATCCATGGGTTTGTGCCAGTTCACCGACATAACTCTGGACTGGTATTAGTACTGGTCCACGCACGCACGCAACATGAGTGAATTAATATTAATATCAATTCACCTGGCACAGACTCACAAAATTCACATCTACTGCTGTGAACGTCGCAGATTTGAGCTATTGCTCGACATAAAAGGAAAGTTGAGAGCTGACATTGACTATTGACATTCATACAGATGATATCTGTCGAGGATGATCTACTCGTAATTCTCGAGCAATGAAAAAGTACATCGTTCACCTGTTCTTGTTAAACCACGCTCCCCGAATACTTTGCAAATCAATTTATGCATATTTTTTTATTAACGGACGTCTATGAATATTATCTACGGGCCATATTGCGTAATGCCATGTTAAAGATATGTTTGTGTATTATTTATACCAGGAAGAGGTCAACATGACATGGGTAGGCGGGTCGCGTTGACCTCTGTTCTATCAGCTCCATACTAAAACATAAACTCAATATCGTAAACCATATGTAATTGTTACGATATTCGTCAGGTTCATTTCAGTTTACTGCCAATCACATTCACCTGTATCTGTAGCTCTCAAGCCAGCTGGGGCGGTCGGGTAGCCTAGTGGTTAAAGCGTTTGCTCGTCACGCCGAAGACCCGGGTTCGATTCCCGACATGGGTACAATGTGTGAAGCCCATTTGTGGTGTCCCCCGCCGTGATATTGCTGGAATATTGCTAAAAGCGGCGTAAAACCATACTCACTCACTCACTCACTCACTCAAGCCAGCTGAATTGGGCACCGAGTGATCAGGCTCCTTGGCTTGCGAGGCACCGTGTCGTGGAAGCACTTGTCATTACTCACGCTCTCTCCGACCCTTGTCCATGCTTTCAATCATGATTTTGACTGATCGAGACTCCCATATGTACAGGCCGATATGCCGTGGCTGGGATGTTGCTAGCTACGGCGTTTAATAAAATTCATGTGCTTATTATAGCGCTGACATATAGTGTAGGCGCTAGATCTACAACGACAACGACACTACAACGTCTGCCAATGTTAAAATTCCAACAGCGTATTGATGTAATTACAATAACACGTTCTCCGTCTACACAGACGAGAAGCGTGCATCCCGATCGTGTAAGTTTAACTGAGTTGTCCTGTATAAATTACTCATTGTCATTTTTAGAAATGAATACAGAAACGTAGCTGAATACATTCCGCACACGACTAAAGGGTAAATTTGTGACAATTTACATGATTTCAATGATTACTGAAGAAATACAACAGCCTTTGTATCAAATGTGCATACATGTATGCAAAAACTGGAAGTTTAAAACACTATAGTTTTCGCCACCTATGGGTAATAAATAGATGGAAACTAATGTTGTCTTGCTGAATAATGGATTAAAACCAAACTACTAGTGTCTCACTGAAAAAGTATACATGGGCAGTAAGCCAAATGCCGTTAGTCATCTTAAGCAAGCCACTCATGCCAACGACCTGCAACTGGGCCCCGTATCACAAAGCGACCGTAGCACTTATGTGGTCGTAACTCCCATATACTTTAACATAGGATTACGATAGTCGCAGCGCTGGGCTCGCTTTGTGGAACGGGCCCCTGTACTATGGTCGTGGTGTATTGATTTATTAACACAGCGTGAAACACAGTTAGGCCTAACAAAATCGTACTTGTACTTGAATGAACGTAGAGCGAAAGTTGAACAAAACAGGTAATTGGATTGTTTTGCAGAATTATGGTCCTTAGGGAAAATATTCCCCTAAACCACCATGTGCACGTTTTCTCCAAATTCATTACAGGTGCCTATAGGGGTTTGCAGCTGACAATTTGTGAAGTACTTTCTGGGTCTTGCGGACCCCCTTATCCACCTGTTCGCAGCCTGAAGACACCCGGACAAGGCCATGGAGTGTTCGCGTGTCATAATGAACCAAGAAATCGCTGCGTCTATGGCGGAGGTGGAAACAGTTGTTAGGGATGATGCACTCAATCTGCTGCTGAACAACACCGACGTTAACCAACAGGAACATGGCATCGAACCAGTGACACGGGAGAAGATGAATGTTCATTTCGACCGTAATGTTACAGGTAGAATAAAATTATTACTACGCACAAGTAACTGGACATTTTTTACCATTAGTGCGCGCGCACACACATTCACGAAGCCTAATAATTCGAGCGGGCACAAGTAGAAACTGCTACCAGTCCTTATTCACGGTAAATTTTCGACAGGTCTCCGCCTGTATGTAGGTGATAACGGTAGCGCTAGGTACAAAACTTTAAAACACATTATGTGATTTGCATTGATGATGCCGAAAGGGCGATATGAATCCTAAAGCGCACATTGGCAGCATTTACTGACGAGTTTAACGCCGGTTTTGGCAATATTCAAGCAACATCACGCCGGAGGACACCAGACAAGGGCTTCACACATTGTACATCTATAGGGACTCAAACCGGGCCATCGCCGTGACGAGCGAACGCTTTAACCACTAGGCTACCACACCGTAACTTAGAAGTTGAGATCCATGACCCCAACAGTGGCAAATAGAAAAAACATGTATACATGAACGAGGGAATGCGATAACGCATCTTGACACATGGCCCAGACTAAACTACATTATACCATGAATAGACAATACGCCTGAGAGAATGAATACCATTGAATAACTGATATTAACCACCATCTATGAAGAAACAATCAGCTTTTTTAGAATCTTGGTAAAGACGGTTTAATAATGTGATAATGTTGCTACATTTAATCATTTGATACTTATCGTCAACTCATTGCCAAAGGAGACATGAGGAACGATACATTAATTCGTTGTGGCTTCATTCAGTGCAGGACCGCCTCCGTGGTCTTTTGGTAGAGCGTCCGCCCGGAGAGCGGAAGGTCCGGGGTTCGAACCCCGACCGCGTCATACCAAAAGACGTTAAAAGATGGTACTTGTTGTTACCCTGTCTGACGCTCGGCATTAAGGGGCTAAAACAAGGACTGGTCGGCTCGGAGTCAGTATACTGTGTCTGAGTGGGGTATTCATGTTAAACTGCGGCATGGTATCTCAGTGAGCTAGCACTATAAATCGGCATCAGTCCGGACTAGTACAAGTAACCAACACAAACACACACACATACATGCACGTCGCTATATAAGTGCAATAATCTTGGACGCGACGTTAAACCCCATTTCACCTCACCTCATTCAGTGCATTTGCCTGAGGATACGGGAACGAAGATTTTCCGGCCGCTTCTTGGAGTACCAGTAACATTTGTTTGTTTGATGTTTTACGCCACGTGTACACTCAGCTATATGAGTGAGTGAGTGAAAATTTAACGTCGCATCGGCATTATTTCAGCCATATAGCGACTCAGCTATATGATGGCGGTCTGTACATAATCGAGTCTGGACCAATGCTGTTATTGATATCATGAGTATCGGTCCACGCAACTGGCATGTTATAACATGCATCAAGCAAGTCAGCGGGACTGACCAACCGATCTCGTTAGTCGCCTCTTCCGACAAGCATTGTCCAGACTTGATTATTAGTGAGTGAGTGAGTATGGTTTTACGCCGCTTTTAGCAGTATTCCAGCAATATCACAGCGGGGGTCACCAGAAATGGGCTTCACACACTGTACCCATGTCGGGAATCGAACCCGGGTCTTCGGCGTGACGAGCGAACGCTTTAACTACTAGGCTACCCGACCACCCCACTTGATTATTAACAGACCGTAGTCATATAGCATGACTATTGCTGAGAAGGGCGTTAAACAGCAACAAAACATATTTATTTTTTTGGTATTTGTGTTTCGAGCGGTAATTCAAATGCTAAAACGTTTTTCACTTTAATTTGATAACCAAGATATGTTTCTGATTATGAATAATTCTGTAAACCGAGACATCTCACTAAAAGTATACCTTTAAAGCTTATCTACATGGTAGATCAACATTTGATCTGTTTAATTAATATGTTAATGATAAGGTTGACGATGCATGACGAGCTGTTGCCGCTCTCGCATATCGATCTGCCACGATGCTAATGAGGAACTGACGCTCACAACAACAGAACATCAATTCAATATCGTAGCATTAGGCCTGATAACACAATGAAATGATCAATGAAGCCTTATAGGGTCATCGCTCACAAATCTGACGGTCACAGTTACCTCCCTTTGTTTACACGGGCGCCCATGCTGCAACGGACTCGCTTCGACGACCATGTGCACGTTGTCTCCAAAATCCGTATTCATTACGGGTGCCAATAGGGGTTTGGGGCTGGAATTTGTGAAGCACTTTCTGCGTCTAGCGAATCCCCCTACCCACCTGTTCGCAGCCTGTAGACAGCCGGACCAGGCCACGGAGTTGACGCAGCTAGCGAGCGAAAATGGAAGTATTCGCGTGGTAAAGCTGGACGTGAGGCAGGACGAAGAAATCGCTGCGGCTGTGGCGGAGGTGGGGAAAGTTGTTGGGGATGATGGACTCAATCTGCTGCTGAACAACGCCGGTGTCAACCAACAGGAACAAGGCATCGAACCACTGACACGGGAGAAGATGAATTATCACTTCGACTGTAATGTTACTGGTAGGTTAATTTATTATGAAGCCATCGTCACGTGTACGAGAACTCGTCGATGACAGATGATTGCCTGAGGTTTTTTTACATACCGCCGTCGCATGGCAGGAGTACTGCTGTGTGGCGCTAGGCAACGGATCCTTCAAATTTTATGGCGGGGACAGGACAGGACATGCTTTCCCTTTTCACAAAGACCCGTGAAGATCCGGGGTAGAATAGATCTTCAGCAACCCATGCTTGCCGTGAAAGTCGACTATGCTTATCTTAAGAGGCGACTAGCGGGATCAGGTGGTTGGGTCGCTATATGGTGGCGGTCTGTAAATAATCGAGTTTGGAGCAGACAGTCCAGTGATTGATATCATGATATCGATCCACGCATTTGTCAGCGTGCCTGACCACCCGATCCCATATGGACCGACCATTTCATATTCTGGCTGTGATGGGATTTTGTTTACGGAGCGTAAATAATTTATCAGCTGCATTTGCAAAACCTTTTTTGATGAAATAAAAATAATGAGTCTAAATATTTCGATAACGCCGAATTTTGATAAAAAATGAAAATAACTCAAAACAATTGGACCCGGAACCGGATTTGGGATATCCAAGATAAGAAAATATCGAGTGGGTCGGTGCTGAGAAAGATGGCTATATTTTTTGTGGACATGTTCTTTTTTCAGCTCCACTGTTGATTTGTAAAGCGTTTCTTCCCACACTGAGACGAGCTGCGGACAAGACAGAGTTCAGCTGCAGCAGAGCGGCCATCATCAATCTCTCTTCTACCTTGAGCCTTATCAACTACGTCAATAAGATAAACGATTTCCGCTACCCTTACAACAGCTCAAAGTGTGCCCTCAACATGGTGACCGATGTTCTCGCGAGAGAAGTTTCCCCGGACGGGGTGTTGGTGGCTGGGATCCACCCCGGGTGGGTCAAGACCGACATGGGAGGTCCTAACGGAATGATTGATAAGGAAGAAAGTATTTCCAAGTGTATGAATACATTTGCAGCGATGAATAAAGATTCGTCAGGGTTGCTGCATTCATACACAGGAGATATCTTTGATTGGAATTCCGGGCCCTAGTCAAATGCAACTATGTGATTTGCCTGAAAGTGAAGTGTATCATGCAAAAGGTTGATAGGTTATGGAAAAAAAATATCATAACGCTTCAGTTCGTTTACCTTGTCGAATAAGCATTATATTTCAATATATATTCAAATAATCGGATTTGGGAGCATTCATTTTTTTGAAAATTCAACCAAACTGTTCCTTTTTTCACCACGGTCAACAAACTGTAGATTTTGGCCATATTACGGAACAAACTATCTATTTAAACAAGCCCCCGCCCCACCACATCAAAAGAAATCAAATGGATATTTCTGATTCTGATTCTAAGTATCCTCTTTTAATCCTCTGGATAAGTTTCTGAGTTGTGCTGTAATATACTTATTGATGCAGGATGAGAATCAATATCAAACAATATAAAGTATACGTGACATCTTCTGAATGGACCACGTACTGGTTAGTTGAGATTCCTTTTTATGAACAGATGAATAAATGTGGTTCCAATCTGAAATATGCTGTGTTTGTATTTCGCAAGAATGTTTGCATCATTTCAAGGAAGAAGGAATACAGGGTATTGGGACAAGGATGACGGAGCCACCTACAGCGGCCAATTCATTGTTCATAGGCTTGCCAGAAACCTATAATCGTGAGTTCGAGTCCCAGAGTCGCCTCATTATGTTTTTAGGTTTGTCATCACCGTTCCCGTGCTCGTGTGTTTCACCCAAGTTGTAAAGCCTGCATCATTGCTTTTCTCCCACATCTCCGCCTGGAACACAGTGATAAAACTGAAATACTGTTCAAAGTGGTGTTAAACAAATACTCACTCACTTAAGTTGGTACTATTCATCTGTCAAAAGTCCATTACCGTTTTAGGTCCAGACTTCGAAACTGAGACAATGTAACTGCATTATCAGGTAATTATACACTACTCAATTGGCATACATCACTTAGTATTGGTAAGGAGTGAGTGAATGTAGTTTTACACAGTATTTAACAATATTCGTTTCGTATCAAAGTTTGAAATCTCTAATTTATTAAGCACAATTTATTTTTCTCCTACAAGTAAATGACTACATTTTGCAGCAATGAATAAAGATTGTATTCCTACACGGGAAGCATTTTCAAATGGATATTTTCCGATTGGTATGATTTGTTTGTTTTGTTTGTTTGTTGTTTAATGCCACACTCGGGGATATACCAAATATATGACGGTCGTCTGCAAAAATCGCGTCTTGACCAGATAATCCAATGAAGGACATCAGCATCGATCACAATTGAGATACGATGACATGCATCAACCAAGTTAGCAAGCCTGACCACCTGATCCCGTTAGTCGACTGGTAGACTGCATGTACTTGCATCACTGAGTAGATTATCATGTAAAGGAAGAAATTATCAGATAATGTTAACCTCGTCGGCTACGCATTATGTTTCAATTTTGATACAAGAAATCCGTTTGGATAAAATATATTGATTCTCTATTGACTCTTTTCAGTAATACTGACAGTTGGAAGGGGACATTCTCTACAGTAATGAGTGTTTCATTTTCAGGATAAGAACCACCATGAACAGTATTATGAAGTGGCATTTTCAGAATGGTTAAAGCATTAATTTACTTGAAGGTTCGATTGCTGGAATAAAGGAATAGTTGAATAAATGGGTTCATATTAAGCTAAAGTAGATTTCAATAAATAAATAAAATTATAAGTGGGTCATTTTTGAGTACCGTAAAACATTTTTGTTTGTTGTTTAACGCCACACAGCAATATTACAGCTATGTGATGGCGGTCTGTAAATCCAATGATTGATATCCAGAGCATCGATGCACGCAATTAAGATACGATGACATGCATCAAGCAAGTAAACGAACCTGACCACCCGATCCCGCCTCTTACGACAAGTATGGGATGCTGAAGATAAATTCTAACCCGGATCTTCAGTTCTTGCTTCAGTGTTGACCAAGTGATAATTATAACAGTTGTTATGTTCGGTAAACATATTAAAGGAGTAGAGGCAGTGTAGTAATAGTGAGCGGGTGAGTTAAAATCATTCACGGTGTTACGTGTCGATTCCCAAAATTCACTTAGGTTACAAATCAATGCAAATTACTGCACAGCAATTAAACAATAGAGTGGAGTACAATATTCAATGGCAATATATAATATGATGGCAGTGATCAGCATCAAAAAAAAAAAATACAGTGGTGGTCGCAAAAGTCAGTGATAATAGTATATATTCACCCAGCAGTGACTGTGGTTAAGCTTCCGAGATTGGCTAGGCAGGGAATCTGGGATGATGAGCGATCCTCACATGAAAGATGGTTCTAAAGCGAACATTTAAGAGACGAAATGTGAAATAGATACGCAAACACGCTATTGTCCCGTTATATACAATCTACCTATCTTCTGGAAAATTCACCTGTCCATGGGCACAAGAACATTGAAGAAATTTCACCAACATACCATCATGGTCCGCGTTGTACCAGACAGGAAGTATACACACCACACTAGCATCTAAATATAGTTGCTTCCTGACGACTGATCACTGTCCAAATACAATGGTATGAGCGTCTACCGATTCTAAACCAAAAACAATGTAACATAGTTTCAATAAAATAAAATAAAATACACTGCCATAAAACTCTCTCCCCCTTCGGTGGAAGAAGGTTTGAACGAGTGATAACTTTATTTCACATTCAACCAACCCGTGACAATGCGTCCGCAAAAACTTTGTCTTTACCTTTGATATGGTTGATGTCTAAATCAAATTCTTGCAAAGACAGGCTCTAGCGCATTAGGCGTTGTTTTTTGTTCTTCATTTTATGAAAAAATAGTCAGTGGATTGTGATCAGTATACACTTAAATGGGAAACAAAGTAGTACCCAAGTACATTCCAAATGGCTGCTAAGCTAACAATAGAGCAAGAGTTCCTTTTTCATGAGAAAGCGATCGTCACATGAAAGCCGGTTCTAAAGCAATGAAATGCATGAGGTGGGAAATACGACACAACCCAACAACTCTGATGATAAGCATAGGTTGCTGAAGATCATTTCTAACCCGGATCTTCACGAGTTGAAAACAGAAAAGAGTGCCGACAGTTTGGGTTCAGTGTTGATCAAATGATAATTTTAACCGTTGTTATGTTATGTAAACATATCAAAAGAGTAGAGGCAATGTAGTAAAAGTGAGTGAGTGAATTAAAATTTAACGCTGCATCGGCGTAATTTCAGCCATATAGCGACTAATGTAGTATGTATGTATGAATAATTCAAATGCCATTCAAATGCTGAAGACGCGTGAAGATCCGGGGTAGAATAGATCTACAGCAACACGTTCTTGTCGTAAAAGGTGACTATACTTGTCGTAAAAGGTGACTAACGGGATCGGATGGTAAGGCTCGCTAAATTGGTTGATGCATGTCATCGATTCCAATTGCGTGGATCGATGTCGCATGATATCAATCACTGGATTGTCTGGTCCAGACTGAAGGGCAACAGATGGAGCTTTGTTGGATCCCGTCTCACACTTAGATATTCGATTATTTACAGACCGCCGTCATATAGCTGGATTATCGCTGTGTGTGGCGTAAAACAACAAACCAACCGACCAACCAACCAACCAATTGCAAATGCTGAAATGTTTTTTCACTTTAATTTTACAACCAAGACATGTTTCCCATTGTGAATAACTCAGAAAAAACGAAGCAACTAACAAAGAATAATAACGTTTAAATGTTATCCACATGATAGATCAACATTTTATCTATTAATTAATCATTTAATGGGAACGTTGATGGTGTATGACGAGCTGTTGGTGCAGTCGCATAACACTCTGCCACGATGTTAATTATGAACTGACTCTCACAACGATACAACAGCAAATTGAATATATCGTGTGCAGCTTAATGCATGAAGCGCCAATGAAATGGTCACTGAATAAAGAATAGGGTCCCTGCTCACAAATCTGACGATCGTAGTTACCTCCCTTAAAGTACACGTCCGCTTCTGCTCCAACGGACTCGCTTCGGCGACCATGTGCTCGTTGTCTCCAAAATCCGTATTCATTACGGGTGCCAATAGGGGTTTGGGGCTGGAATTTGTGAAGCACTTTCTGCGTCTAGCGAATCCCCCTACCCACCTGTTCGCAGCCTGTAGACAGCCGGACCAGGCCACGGAGTTGACACAGCTAGCGAGCGAGAATGGAAGTATTCGCGTGGTAAAGCTGGACGTAAGACAGGATGAAGAAATTGCTGCGGCTGTGGCGGAGGTGGAGAAAGTTGTTGGGGATGATGGACTCAATCTGCTGCTGAACAACGCCGGCGTTAGCCAAAAGGAAGAAGGCCTCGAACCACTGACTCGGGAAAAGATTAATTTTCACTTCGACATTAATGTTACTGGTAGGTTAATTTATTTTGAAGCCATCATCACTTGTTCTCATGCATGTACGAGAACTCGCGTTTCTTGTCTGTTTTGTTTGTTGTTTTCCTCGTCGATGCCAGGTGATTGCCTGGTTTGTTTAAATGCCACCGTCACATGACAGGTCGACTGCTGGACGCCTGGCAACGGATCCTTTAACTTTTATGCAAATTCTTTGATTGGCGTGGACAGGACATGCTTACCCTTTTCGCGAACACCTGGTGTCATCACTGGTTTTCAGTGATCCATTCATATACTTTTCACCGCTATTTCGCTTCTTACAAACAATGGAATCTGTTTCCATGGATAATGGAGACTACATCGTTGTTCTCTGGCGTTGACTTTATATGTTTTGTGTGTCGCTGATCATTTTGGTATGTGATTTGTTGACTCTATGGTCATTACCTTGACCTTGAGATTTTACGGCTGCATATTGATTGCATATAACAAGCCATGCATTCATAACTTATATTGGACTAGGTCTTCAGTTGAATAGACTTTGATTGGCTTTATTAATTAATTGTCTGAATAAATAAAATCTTACAAACTATTCAAGTTTCAAATAATCCAATCCTGAAATGCAAGCGCATGTCTGTCTTGTATTTAAATATGCCTTACTGACGTGTATGTCGAGGAGAGTAGTGTTCAGACGACATTATGATGACATTAATAAACTATACACATAACATTCCCACAATTGTTCATCATCTAAACCCGTTGTGTCATACAAAATGTGCAATGTTGCCCGAAGTCTCGTCACGTTCAACCAGATGTAGGTGAAACAGGTGGTCTTGTGGTCTCAAGCACCGACACTAGATCAGACGGGGGCCGCTATGCGTTCGTTGGATTCCTCTCGACTATGCCCTTTGCTCTATTACCACGTGGCCCGTGCCCGTGCCTGTGGTTTGTTTGTTTGTTGTTGAACCCTACACTCAGCAATATACGAGCTCTATGACGGCGGTCTGTAAATAATCGAGTCGGACCGGACAATTCAGTGATTGATGTCATGAGCAACAATCCACGAAATTGGGATGCGATGACATGCATGAACCAAGTTAGCGAGCCTGCCCACCCTATCATGTTAGTCGAATCATATGGCAAGTAGAGTCGTCTTTTACGACAAGCATGGGTTAGACCTATTCTAACCAGGATCTAAACGGATCGTTCCCGAATAGTTTGTTTGTTGTTGTTTAATGCCGCACTCAGATGGGATGGGATTTTGTATGCTGAATGTGTAAAACCAGATTAAAAAAATAATATAAAAAATATGAACCTAAATATTTCGATAACGCCTTTATGTGGTCTCAGAGGACATGTTCTCTTTTCAGTCCCACTGTTGATTAGTAAAGCGTTACTTCCCACACTGAGACGAGCCGCAGACAAGGTAGAGTTCAGCTGCAGCAGAGCAGCCATCATCAATCTCTCTTCTATCTTAAGCCTTATCAACCATATCAACAAAATAAACGACTTCCGCTACCCTTACAACAGCTCAAAGTGTGCCCTCAACATGGTGACCGATATTCTCGCGAGAGAAGTTTCCCCGGACGGGGTGTTGGTGGCTGGGATCCATCCCGGGTGGGTCAGGACCGACATGGGAGGCCCTAACGCAATGATAGATAAGGAAGAAAGTATTTCCAAGTGTATGAATACATTTGCAGCGATGAATAAAGATTCGTCAGGGTTGCTGTATTCATACACAGGAGATATCTTTGATTGGAATTACGGGGTCTAGTTAAATACAACGTTTGTTTTTTACCTGAAAATATATCATGCAATAGGTTGTAAGGTTATGGAAGAAGTTATTCAATCGTTTAATTTTGTTTTCCTTGTCGAATAAGCTTTATATTTCAATGATTATTCAAATATTCGGATTTAATAAAACGGAGTTAGGGAAGATCCATGTGATTTGAATATTTCACCACGGCCAACAAACTGTTCATTTTGGCTATATTACTGAACAAATATTACTATCTATTTAAACAAGCCTACGCCCCACCATCAATAGAAATCAAATGGATGTTTCTGATTCTGATTCTAAGTATCCTCTTTTAATCCTCCGGATAGTTGGAATTCTCTCGAGTAATACGTTTCTGAGTTGCGCTGTAATATACTTGTTAATGCAGGATGAGAATCAATATCAAACAATATAAAGTATATGTGACATATGGACCACGTACTGGCTAGTTAAGATTCCTTTTCAGGAACAGATTAATAAATGGGGTTCCACCTGAATTATGTTGTGTTTGTATTTTGCAAGAATGGTGACATCAATTCAAAGAAGAAAGACAGGTAATTTAGACAAGGATGACGCAGCCATCTACAGCGCCCAATGTCTTGTTCATAGGCAACATTGTTCCTATGATCGTGGGTTCGAACCCCAGAATCGCCTGATTATTTTGTTGTTGTTGTCAGCACTGTTCCCGTGCTCGTGTGTTTCACCCAAGTTGTAAAGGCTGCATCATTGCTTTTCTCCCACATCTCCGCCTGGAACGATGTTATATAACTGAAATACTGTTCAAGTGGTGTTAAACAAATACACACTTACTTAAAGAATTCTTAAAAAGGTTACTACACATGCTTTATACTCGCTATAAATGGATACTTAGGTATATATGCTGTACACAAAAGACAGTTTTAAACAGTAACACTTCATCATACAGCTAAAATTAGCAATCTAAAATGGACGTCCCATGGGAGCTTTTGTCGGTTACGTAAGATAATAAGGTAGCGAGTCACGTCATCGTGTGACATCATACCGGACAGTTGTAGCATCAAAACACACAAATTGCAACGATGCCTCCCCGAATCCCTCACTAAGCCCTGCTTTTATCTTGACTAATAATTTGATCTACAGGGCCAAAATGGATTTGGCTATTCTACCAGAAACAGAAAATGACAGAGAAGTACAAACTTTTTTCAATTTGAACCTATATCTGCCAAAACGAACGACAGGAATACTGCCGACGATTCCAGCAGTTTACAAGAACACACTGACGATCCCGATCTCGACGATGTTTTGCATAGACATCATATAGACTGGTATGCTGGTCATTTGCGTATTATGTGTCATAATTACAGAGTAGATATGGAATTAATGTTTCAGCTGTCACAGTAAAATGTGCAGTCATAATTACCGTAAAGTTACACCAATATGCTAAGCCACGTCCATATGAGACAGTAAATGCTCAAATCGCAATTTACAAGTAAATTATTTTAAGATAATATTTAAGACTTTTATAATGAGATGTTATAATACTTCTTATGACGAAATGTGCCCAGAAGAAGGATCGAATATGGGCATAAACTTTTCTGTGAAATACCGTTACGTCAGTCAATGCACGGACACAGTACCCTAGATTCGTTTGTGTGACATATCAAAGAGAAGCAATGAAAGAGTGCATCGAAGTTCAGTTTTATGACATTTTCAATTTCCATGAACGTCTAAAATATTGGTAAGCTGTTGTGATATTTATTGTGGAATATACATGTAAAATAAATTATATAGTGAATGTAAAATGTAAAATTATTATTAAATTTTAGTGTGAATTTAAAAACAAATGTGTCATAAATAAGAAATATGCGAACAAACAACAGTCAGGCCCACAAGACGATAACGAACCAATTCATAAGTATGTTCCTTCAAAACTGATAATAACTATAACCAAAGAAAATATAGCTGCATAGATTAGAATTGACATATCCTTATCACTGTTATGCATTAATTATTAAATATAATCGTCAGTGAGTGAAAAAGAAATATTATCATTGCTTTATAGTTGTAAATGACATGAATATAGTGATCAGTTCCAAAGCAAGACCTTCAATGAAATTAAGGATTAACTAGCACAAAACTAAATGTGTAAATGTTGTATTTGCATACCTTTTTAACATACAAAAGTGCTCGTTGTGTGGCATACCGTCGATTTAACAGAAAATCGATTGTCCCATACCATCATGTGAGGTGAGGCAGTTGAGGCGAGGTGAAATGGGGTTTAAGGTAGCGTCCAAGGTGTGTTACGGCATATATTGTCGCGGGGGTGGGGGGGGGGGGGGGGGGGGGGGGTCTCACTGTGATGAAGTACAGGATGGATGCCTGACTGATGAAGGACGGGAGGTACATTCTGACTGTGATGGACAGAAAGGAGAGTCTGACTGTGATGAAGGGCAGGAAGGAATATCTGACTGTGATGAAGGACAGGAAGGAGTGCCTGACCGTGATGACTGACAGGAAGGAGAGCCTGGCCGTGATGAATGACAGGAAGGAGAGCCTGACCGTGATGAAGAAGAAGAGGAAGTAATGTCTGACCGTGATGAAGGACAGGAATGAATGTCTAACTGTGATCAAGGACAGGAAGGAGAGTCTGACTGTGATCAAGGACGGGAAGGAATATCTGACTGTGATGAAGGACAGGAAGGATAGTCTGACTGTGATGAAGGACAGGAAGGAATGCCTGACCGTGATGAATGACAGGAAGGAGAGCCTGAACGTGATGAAGAAGAAGAAGTAATGTCTGACTGTGATGAAGGACAGGAATGAATGTCTGACTGTGATGAAGGACAGGAATGAATGTCTGCCTGTGATGATGGACAGGAATTAATGTCTGCCTGTGATGAAGGACAGGAATGAATGTCTGACTGTGATGAAGGACAGGATGGATGCCTGACTGATGAAGGACGGGAGGTACATTCTGACTGTGATGGACAGAAAGGAGAGTCTGACTGTGATGAAGGGCAGGAAGGAATATCTGACTGTGATGAAGGACAGGAAGGAGTGCCTGACCGTGATGACTGACAGGAAGGAGAGCCTGGCCGTGATGAATGACAGGAAGGAGAGCCTGACCGTGATGAAGAAGAAGAGGAAGTAATGTCTGACCGTGATGAAGGACAGGAATGAATGTCTAACTGTGATCAAGGACAGGAAGGAGAGTCTGACTGTGATCAAGGACGGGAAGGAATATCTGACTGTGATGAAGGACAGGAAGGATAGTCTGACTGTGATGAAGGACAGGAAGGAATGCCTGACCGTGATGAATGACAGGAAGGAGAGCCTGAACGTGATGAAGAAGAAGAAGTAATGTCTGACTGTGATGAAGGACAGGAATGAATGTCTGACTGTGATGAAGGACAGGAATGAATGTCTGCCTGTGATGATGGACAGGAATTAATGTCTGCCTGTGATGAAGGACAGGAATGAATGTCTGACTGTGATGAAGGACAGGAAGGAGTGCCTGACCGTGATGAATGACAGGAAGGAGTGCCTGACCGTGATGAAGAAAAGGAAGTAATGTCTGACTGTGATGAAGGACAGGAATGAATGTCTGACTGTGATGAAGGACAGGAAGGAGCGTCAGACCGTGATGAAGGACAGGAATGAATGTTTGCCTGTGATGAATGACAGGAAGGAGAGCCTGACCGTGATGAAGAAGAGGAAGTAATGTCTGACTGTGATGAAGGACAGGAATGAATATCTGACTGTGATGAAGGACAGGAATGAATGTCTGCCTGTGATGAAGGACAGGAATTAATGTCTGCCTGTGATGAAGGACAGGAAGTAATGTCTGACTGTGATGAAGGACAGGAAGGAGTGCCTGACCGTGATGAATGACAGGAAGGAGTGCCTGACTGTGATGAAGAAAAGGAAGTAATGTCTGACTGTGATGAAGGACAGGAATGAATGTCTGCCTGTGATGAAGGACAGGATGGAGAGTCTGACTGTGATGAAGGACATGAAGGAATGTCTGACTGTGATGAAGGACAGGAAGGAGTGCCTGACCGTGATGAATGACAGGAAGTGGGGCCTGACCGTGATGAAGAAAAGGAAGTAATGTCTGACTGTGATGAAGGACAGGAATGAATGTCTGTCTGTGATGAAGGACATGAATGAATGTCTGCCTGTGATGAAGGACATGAAGGAATGTCTGACTGTGATGAAGGACAGGAATGAATGTCTGACTGTGATGAAGGACAGGAATTAATGTCTGCCTGTGATGAAGGACATGAAGGAATGTCTGACTGTGATGAAGGACAGGAAGGAGTGCCTGACCGTGATGAATGACAGGAAGTGGGGCCTGACCGTGATGAAGAAAAGGAAGTAATGTCTGACTGTGATGAAGGACAGGAATGAATGTCTGACTGTGATGAAGGACATGAATGAATGTTTGCCTGTGATGAAGGACAGTAAGGAGAGCCTGACCGTGATGAAGGACAGGAAGGAGAGTTTGCCTGTGATGAAGGACAGGAAGGAGCATCTGAATGTGATGAAGGACAGAAATAAATGTCTGACTGTGATGAAGGACAGGAATGAATGTCTGACTGTGATGAAGGACAGGAAGGAGAGCCTGACCGTGATGAAGAAGAAGAGGAAGTAATGTCTGACTGTGATGAAGGACAGGAATGAATGTCTGACTGTGATGAAGGACAGGATGGAGAGTCTGACTGTGATGAAGGACAGGAAGGAGTGCCTGACCGTGATGAAGGACAGGAATGAATGTTTGCCTGTGCTGAAGGTCAGTAAGGAGGGCCTGACCGTGATGAAGGACAGGAAGGAGAGTTTGCCTGTGATGAAGGCAAGGAAGGAGCGTCTGAATGTGATGAAGGACAGGAATAAATGTCTGCCTGTGATGAAGGACATGAATGAATGTCTGACTGTGATGAAGGACAGGAATGAATGTCTGTCTGTGATGTTGGACAGGAATGAATGTCTGACTGTGATGAAGGACATGAAGGAATGTCTGCCTGTGATGAAGGACAGGAATGAATGTCTGCCTGTGATGAAGGACAGAAAGGAGTGCCTGACCGTGATGAATGAAAGGAAGGGGAGCCTGACCGTGATGAAGAAGAGGAAGTAATGTCTGACTGTGATGAAGGACAGGAATGAATGTCTGACTGTGATGAAGGACAGGAATAAATGTCTGCCTGTGATGAAGGACAGGAATGAATGTCTGACTGTGATGAAGGACAGGAATGAATGTCTGACTGTGATGAAGGACAGGAATGAATGTCTGCCTGTGATGAAGGACAGGAAGGAGTGCCTGACCGTGATGAATGACAGGAAGGGAGCCTGACCGTGATGAAGAAAAGGAAGTAATGTCTGCCAGTGATGAAGGACAGTAAGGAGAGCCTGGCCGTGATGAAGGACAGGAAGGAGAGTTTGCCTGTGATGAAGGACAGGAAGGAGCGTCTGACCGTGATGAAGGACAGAAAGGAGATACTGATCATGATGAAGGACAGGAATGAGCGTCTGACTGACATAAAGGACAGGAAGGAGAGTCTGACGGTGATGAAGGACAGGAAGGAGTGTCTGACCGTGATAAAGGAAAAGAAGGAATGTCTCACTGTGATGAAGGACAGGAAAGAGTGTCTGACTGTGATGAAGTACAGGATGGACGCCTGACTTATGAAGGACGGGAGGTACAGTCTGACTGTGATGAAGGACAGGAAGGAGTACCTGACCGTGGTGAAGGACAGGAATGAATGTTTGCCTGTGATGAAGGACAGTAAGGAGAGCCTGACCGTGATGAAAGACAGGAAGGAGAGTTTGCCTGTGATGAAGGCAAGGAAGGAGCGTCTGACCGTGATAAAGGACAGAAAGGAGACACTGATCATGATGAAGGACAGGAAGGAGATTCTGCCTGTGATGAAGGACAGGAAGGAGTGTCTGACCGTAATGAAGGACAGGAATGAGCGTCTGACCGACATGAAGGTAAGGAAGGGGAGCCTGACTGTGATGAAGGACAGAAATGAGCGTATGGCCGTGATGAAGGACAGGAAGGAGAGCCTGACCGTGATGAAGAAGTCGAAGTAATGTCTGACCGTGATGAAGGACAGGAATGAATGTCTGACTGTGACGAAGGACAGGAATGAATGTCTGTCTGTGATGAAGGACAGGAAGGAGCGTCAGACCGTGATGAAGGACAGGAATGAATGTTTGCCTGTGATGAAGGACAGGAAGGAGAGCCTGACCGTGATGAAGGACAGGAAGGAGCGTCTGCCTGTGATGAAGGACAGGAAGGAGCGTCTGACCGTGATGAAGGACAGGAAGAAGATACTGATTATGATGAAGGACAGGAAGGAGCGTCTGACTGACATGAAGGACAGGGAAGAAGTTTGATTGTGATGAAGGACAGGGAGGAGTGTCTGACCGTGATGAAGGAAAGGAAGGAATGTCTCACTGTGATGAAGGACAGGAAAGAGTGTCTGACTGTGATGAAGGACAGGATGGATGCCTGACTGATGAAGGACGGGAGGTACAGTCTGACTGTGATGAAGATCAGGAAGGAGTGCCTGACCGTGATGAAGGACATGAATGAATGTTTGCCTGTGATGAAGGACAGTAAGGAGAGCCTGACCGTGATGAAGGACAGGAAGGAGAGTTTGCCTGTGATGAAGGACAGGAAGGAGCGTCTGAATGTGATGAAGGACAGAAATAAATGTCTGACTGTGATGAAGGACAGGAATGAATGTCTGACTGTGATGAAGGACAGGAAGGAGAGCCTGACCGTGATGAAGAAGAAGAGGAAGTAATGTCTGACTGTGATGAAGGACAGGAATGAATGTCTGCCTGTGATGAAGGACAGGATGGAGAGTCTGACTGTGATGAAGGACGGGAAGGAATATCTGACTGTGGTGAAGGACGGGAAGGAGAGTCTGACTGTGATGAAGGACAGAAAGGAGTGCCTGACTGTGATGAATGACAGGAAGGGGAGCCTGACCGTGATGAAGAAGAGGAAGTAATGTCTGACTGTGATGAAGGACAGGAATGAATGTCTGACTGTGATGAAGGACAGGAATGAATGTCTGCCTGTGATGAAGGACAGGAAGGAGCGTCAGACCGTGATGAAGGACAGGAATGAATGACTGACATGAAGGACAGGAAGGGGAGTCTGACTGTGATGAAGGACAGGAAGGAGTGACTGACTGTGATGAAGGACAGGAAAGAGTGTCTGACTGTGATGAAGGACAGGAAGGAGTGTCTGACGGTGATGAAGGACAGGATGGAGATACTGGTCATGATGAAGGACAGGGAGGAGAGTTCAGGAGGCGGTGCAGGAGAGATGGTCTCCCTGATGACCGCGTGCTGAATATAGAGACCATTTCTAGATCTCGTTTCTTCAGGTTTCTCCAGGTTTCGCTGAATCGTTCACGAGTGTCTCGCTACTGGATAGTCACGTTCGAAACTCAGGTTTCGTCAGTAAGCGGTTTTCGGGAGATGGTTCGATCTAGATTCTGGCTTAGTCTGGTTGTACTGAACTAAACTTAGTTACTAAGGTTTGTAATATTCAGTTTTGCTGGTAATCCAGGGAGAACCAACCTTCCTGTGATATTGTCTAGCTATTTAGGAATTTAAGTCTGAATTTAAGTTTAAGACTTATTTTAAGGGATAGTGTTTATTTCTCGTTATTTAACCCAGCTGAGGTTATTCATTCATCAGAGCGTTGAGTTAATTGACTCAGGTGATAATCGGCCGCAACCGACTTACTTGGCTGTCTATGCATCTGGGCCCACTTGCACAAAGCGATCTTAGCGCTAAGACTATTGTAAGCCTATGTTAAAGTATGGGCTAAGATCGCTTTGTGCAAGTGGGCCCTGGTCAGTTTCTTGTGTTGTTTAACTACTCCTTTTATTGCTGTAATATAATTGTTTAGCTTAATCTTTCTGATCATTCAGTTCCGACGTTCATACAGTTTGGCCCTCACTCTATGAAGGTTCATACCCCAATGAACTCACTCAAAGTGAAAGTCATTTCTAAAATGAATGACAAGTCTACTTACAAAACCTGCGACATGCGCGAAAACTGTGAAAACGCCATCATGGCATACATCACTTAGTATTGAGTAAGGAGTGAGTTGGTACCGTTGTACGCAGCATTTAGCAATACATGGGAAGCATTTTTAAATGGATATTTTCCGATTGATATGATTTGTTTGTTTTGTTTGTTTGTTTAACGCCACATTCAGCAATATTCCAATTATTTGACGGAAGTCTGCAAAATTCGCCTCTTAACCAGACACTCCCGTGATTGACATCATGAGCATCGATCCACACAATAGGGATACACTGGCATGCATCAATCAAGTCAGCGAGCCTGACGACCTGATCCTGTTAGTCGCCACTTACAAAAGACAGTCGCTGTTCATGGCAAGCATGGGCTGCTGAAGACCTCTTCACAGATCTTCACGGGTTGAGAGTGCCAGCAGTTGGTGCAGTCGCCTATCTCCCTTCCACGAAGTTAAGGATGAACTGACACTCTCAACGATTTTTTCAGATCGTTTCTAGATCGCATGATGCCTGATAACCCAATAAAATGACCCATTAAAATGATAAATGAGAAAAGAATTTGGTCACCGCTAAGAAAATTTCGATTGTAGTTATCTCCCTTTGTTTACACGTCCGTTTCTGTTGCAACAAGACTCGCTTCGATGACCATGTGCACGTTGTCTCCAAAATCCGTATTCATTACGGGTGCCAATAGGGGTTTGGGGCTGGAATTTGTGAAGCACTTTCTGCGTCTAGCGAATCCCCCTACCCACCTGTTCGCAGCATGTAGACAGCCGGACCAGGCCACGGAGTTGACGCAGCTAGCGAGCGAGAATGGAAGTATTCGCGTGGTAAAGCTGGACGTAAGACAGGACGAAGAAATCGCTGCGGCTGTGGCGGAGGTGGAGAAAGTTGTTGGCGATGATGGACTCAATCTGCTGCTGAACAACGCCGGTGTCAACCAACAGGAACAGGGCATCGAACCACTGACACGGGAGAAGATGAATTATCACCTCGACTGCAATGTTACGGGTAGGTTAATTTATCGATGACAGACGATTGCCTGTTTTTTTTACCTGGCAACAAATCCTCTAATTATTATGCAAGTTCTGTGAGTGGTGGGGTTCGACATGCTTTCCCTTTTCGCGAACACCTGGTGTCATCACTGATTTTGTGTGATCAATTCATGTATTTTTTAGATCTATTTTGCCTGTGACGTACAATGGTTGGTTGGTTGGTTGGTTGGTTTGTTGTTTTACGCCGCACTCAGCAATATTCCACGTACAATGGAATCTGTTTCCTCGGATAATCGAGACAGCATTGTTATTCTCTGGCGTTGACATTTAAATTACGTGTTACGTATGTGTCTAGATGATTCTCTTGGCATGTGATTTGTTGACTTTATGGTCCATTATATTATTTTTTAAGCATAGCCAATGATCTCATTACCTTGAGATTATACTGCTTCATATTGATCTACATATAACAAGGGACCGCCTCCGTGGTCTTGTGGTAGAGCGTCCGCCCGGAGAGCGGAAGGTCCAGGGTTCGATCCCGGGCCGCGTCATACAAAAAGACGTTAAAAGATTGTACTTGTTGTTACCCTGTCTGGCGCTCGGCATTAAAGGGCTAAAACAAGGACTGGTCGGCTCGGAGTCAGTATACTGTGTCTGAGTGGGGTATTCATGTTAAACTGCGGCATGGTATCTCAGTGAGCTAGCACTATAAATCGGCATCAGTCCGGACTAGTACAAGCAGCCATACACACACATACACGTGCATGCACGTCGCTATATAAGTGCAATAATCTTTGACGCGACGTTAAACCCAATTTCATCTCACCTCACCTCACATATAACAAGGCATGCATTCATAAGCTAACTTGGACTTTTTGTTGTGATAACACTTTGATTATCTTTTTTAATGAGTTGCCTGAATAAAAACAAATTACAAAATATTCAAGTTTGAAATAACCCAAACCTGAAATGTAAGATAATCTCTTTTACATCATGCTTATAAATATTCCTTTCTGACGTATATGTCGAGGCATGTATGAGGGCATAAAAATATTGTAACATTTCGACAATAGTATTGTCTTTTGAAGCCGTTATGTCTTAAACACTGTGTTATATTGCCCGAGGTCTCTTCACCCGCAACAAGATGTAGGTAATACAGGTGGTCTAGTTGTCTCAAGTGCTGACACTCTATCAGACCGGTGCGCTATGCATGGGTTATATTCTTCCCGAGTATGCCCTTTGCTCTGTGACCACTGTGCCGTGCCAGTGGTTTGTTTTTTGTTGTTTAACGTTACACTCAGCAATATTACAGCTATGTGACGTCTGGACCACACAGTTCAGTGATTGATATCATGAACATCGATCCACGCAACTGGGATGACATGCATCAATCAAGTCAACGAGCCTCACAAATTATAATTATGAGCCTAAATATTTCGATAACGCCTTTATGTGGTCTCACAGGACATGTTCTCTTTTCAGCCCCACTGTTGATTAGTAAAGCGTTACTTCCCACACTGAGACGAGCCGCAGACAAGGTAGAGTTCAGCTGCAGCAGAGCGGCCATCATCAATCTCTCTTCTATCTTGAGCCTTATCAACCACATCAACAAAATAAACGACTTCCGCTACCCTTACAACAGCTCAAAGTGTGCCCTCAACATGGTGACCGATATTCTCGCGAGAGAAGTTTCCCCGGACGGGGTGTTGGTGGCTGGGATCCACCCCGGGTGGGTCAGGACCGACATGGGAGGTCCTAACGCAATGATAGATAAGGAAGAAAGTATTTCCAAGTGTATGAATACATTTGCAGCGATGAATAAAGATTCGTCAGGGTTGCTGTATTCATACACAGGAGATATCTTTGAATGGAATTCCAGGCCCTAAGTAATTGCAACGTATGTTATTTGCCTGAAAATATATCATGCAATAGGTTGTTAGGTTATGGAAGAAATTATTATATGTGCGAAAATATTGTTTACCTTGTAGAATAAGCATTATATTTCAATGTTTATTTAAATATTCTGATTTGATAAAACGGAGTTAGGGAAGATCCATGTGATTTGAAAATTCACACAAATTGTTCCCTTTTTTCACCACGGTCAACAAACTGTTCATTTTAGGCATATTACTGAAAAAACTATCCAATTAAACAATCCCCCGCCCCACCACCAGCAATAGAAATCAAATGGATGTTCCCGTACTGATTCCTCTTTTAATCCTCAGGATAGTTGGAATTCCCTCGAGTAATGAGTTGTGCTGTAATATACTTGTAGATGCAGGATGAGAATCAATATCAAACAATATAAAGTATATGTGACATATGGACCACGTACTGGTTAGTTGAGATTCCTTTTCAGGAACAGATTAATAAATGTGGTGCCAATCTGAAATATGCTGTGTTTGTATTTTGCAAGAATGTTGGCATCATTTCAAAGAAGAAAGACAGGCTATTGGGACGGAGACACCTACAGTGGCCAATTCATTGTTCATAGGTTTGTCAGGAACCTATGATCGTGGGTCCGAAGCCCAGAGTCGCCTGATTATGTTTTTAGGTTTGTCAGCACTGTTCCCGTGCTCGTGTATTTCACCCAAGTTGTAAAGCGTGTTTCATTGCTTATGTCAAGCTGGAACGTCGTGATATAACTGAAATACTAACAATAGCTCATAACATAGCTTTCGGCCATGGGAACCGTGTCAGAGGGGTACTCAAAGTACGTGATCTAGACTACCAGTTGTCGGACTTTCATTTTTGTGGAAGCCTCGGTGGCTGAGTGGGTGCCTCACACTGGCAAGTGTGGGTTCGAATCCCGGATGTACTTCACTAAGAAAGTGTTGTCCCAAATATAACATTTGTTACATTTGACCACTTTCTAAATGGCATTGTGTACTCATAACTGAAATACTGTTGAAAGTGGTGTTAAATAAATACTTACTCACTCACTTAACTGGAGACTATTCCACTGTCAAGAGTCCATTAACATTTTAGGTCCAGACTTCGAGACTGAGACAATGGACATGTACTACAGTTATAACGAACTAAAATTAGTGGTCACTTTGAGTTCTTTATAACCATAGTTTACCTACACTGTAAGGTAGTTTTGTGTGTGTGGAGATATAAATGTAAAAGCCGGTCATTCGTCACCACTCGTCTCTCTCCGTAACCTGCAAGAAGACTCGTCCTCCTATCCATGAATGCTATGGGCGAAAATACGACAAACCAATCAGAATACGCGTATGATTTCAAGTTCTTCGTCAAAGAAACCCTCAGAAATAATTTTTGATTTTACATATGTCTTGCATCTAAACATTTACCCAATACAGATTTAAATATGTTCAAGCATACTGTATAATTCCGAACATCTCGGTGTGCTTTAAATTGCATCTGAAATATATATAATGTAGAAATATATGTGAACCATTACGCAACGAGTTGACAATTGGTTTAGGTATGCCCCTTTGCGCCAAGACGGAACCCGGTCGCAAAAATAGCCATGAGAGGGCCACGAATTGCTATTCGGCTTTTCCCGGAATAACACGAGTTGGTCACGAATGAAAAGCCGGTGTGTACACTGTGTAAATCCGCCAGATGGTGTGCAGAGAATCATCTCCCAACACGTAGTCAGCAGATTAATTCCAGATTGGTGAAGGCACTTGATACATATACGATGCATCCCGTGAAGACCCGGGTTAGAATAGGTCTTCAGCGACCCATGCTTGCCCTAAAAGGCGACTATGCATATGCTTGTCGTAAGAGGCGACTAACGGGATCGGGTGGTCAGGCTCGCTGACTTGGTTGATGTATGTCATCGTATTCTAATATCGTAGATCGATGCTCATGATGTCAATCACTGGATTGTCTGATCCAGACTCGATTATTTACACACCGCCGTCATATAGCTGCAATATTGCTGAGTGCGGTGTTACACAACAAACAAAACGTAACAGGCTTCCCCACCCCAGTGTAACAACATCCTAATCTACCCAACTGTATAAACTTTGCCTCATACATGTATATATGCTTTTCTACCAAACTCTGTTCATCACTTGCTTGATGACGGTGTTAGAACCTACACCGAAACGTCGCTCCTAATTGTAATAAAGAAGTTTTTCTTCCATATATCTTATCCTTACTTACGATGTTATATTTTAAAAGTTGCCAATCCAGATTCACATGTACGATTAATGATATGTTCAAGTCATGTTTTAAAACAGTGATAAATATACCTGTGACAAATAACTCTGAAATAGACTTAATATAATTTAATTCCCAATTGGGACTGGTAAAACCCTTTGGGGAAACCGCTGTTCACAGGGTGACGTTCAAACAACTTGTATGACAACGTGACAACACATTTAAAGAATATGCACAAAATATCACAACTGAAGGTTAATAATATATGCATATGGAATAAAGTTGGGTATGAATCATATATGTTTATCTAAGTGGCATTTAGACAGGCTGAGTGATCACACGATTGCCATAGATTTCCATTTCTTTTATCATTTCAACATCTCTTTTTCTTTATATGATATTGTTATATTATTTCTAAAAAAGACCCACGAGGACTCCTAGTTAGTGTAGGTACAAAGCAACCATCATGTTGCGGTGTCAGACAACTCTCATGGCAACAAAACGTATGTTCATATGATGTCGACCCGTGAAGATTCCGGGGTAGAATAGGTCTTCAAAAACCAATGCTTGCCGTAAAAGGCGACTATGCTTGTAAAAGGCGACTAACTGGATCGGGTGGTCTGGCTCGCTGACTTGGTTGATGCACGTCATCAATCCCAATTGCGTGGATTGATGCTCATGATGTCAATCACTGGATAGTCTGGTCCAGACTCGATTATTTACAGACCGCCGTCATATAGCTGGAATATTGCTGAGTGCGGCCTTAAACGACAAACCAACCAACCAATCATATGATGTCAAGTGTCAGGTTGTGTTGTTAGTGCCCATCGTGAATGGACGTAAATGCATTTTGTTCGCAGATGAGATGCTTTATCTTCCTACCCGCTACGAAGCAGGGCAGGGGATGTAGGTTTCGGTTCAGACGTTAATGGGGAAAAGTTTTTTCAGAAACTAATATTTTGTTTATTTTGCATACATCATTGAGTGATTTATATGTAAATTAAGTTCGAAATCCATCACAAAGTGACAGTGACTTTATAGATATTTGTGTTAAGCCGAGTCGAAAGCCATTTAGAGCTACACAACAGCCGTATTGTGATCACCAGATAGCTATCTGATTGTGATACTCGGTCAAAGTAACATCAGCGATCGAAGGGCATCCACATTGTTATTCAATTGAAGAGAGAAACAGGGTTTCTGGAAAGATAAATGACAACACTCGTTGATAAAAGTGGCAAAAATCCTCGCCAAGCCTCGGATTTTTTCCACTTTTATCAACGAGTGTTGATATATTTGATATCAAAAGTCACTCGGGTGAGATTCTCTATATCCAGACGCTCACGCGCTATCAGTGTCACTGATACGGCCGCGGTATCAACAATGACAACATTAGGTATGTGCATGCTATGATAGCAAACCGATTTACTCATGAATATGTTAGAGAGAGGTAAATACAAGGAAGACAGGATTGACGTATGGATTTCGACTTCTATATACTACTCAAAACAAGTTGAGGACCACCCGATTCTTTCATATTACTATAGTTAATCTGTTATGCCATGACAGATTAACTATAGTAACATGAAAGAATATGGTGGTCCTTAACTTGTTTTGAGTAGTATATTTTTGCGATCCGACGTTTCGTTACAGATACATATAACCAGTTAAGGTGCTTATAAGGTACTGGTATCTGTACCCAACCGTCGTATCAAAATAATATTTGTTTGTACATTTATTTGTTAACACCATACTCGGCAATATTCAGCTCAATGACGGCGACAAGAAAATAATAGAGTCTGGACCATACAAACCAGTGACTGATATTGTAAGCATTGTTTCAGGCCGTCAGGGTTCGCTGATACGCACTCAACTAGGTCAGCGAGTCTTCCTAAATTATCAATTAAGTCGCCCTCTACCCCTGAAGTTCCGCAGGGATAGAATAGGTCTTGAGCAACCCATGCTTGCCGTGAGAGGCGACTGACGGGATCGGGCGGTCAGGCTCGCTGACTTGGTTGATGCATGTCATCGTATCCCAATTGCGTGGACCGATGCTCATGATGTCAATCACTGGATTGTCTGGTCCAGACTTGATTACTTACAGACTGCCGTCATATAGCTGGAATATTGCTGAGTGCGGCGTTAAGCAACAATTGAAACAAACAAACTTAACTAATACTACAGCTTCTAAATGTCACTTCAAAAACACATGCATAGATTCATATACATGCTTATTCCATTTGACTTTAATTTAACAATTGTGCCATTTCATTATATGTATCTTGAAATGCCGATACCTCAAACGAAATTATAGTATTAATAGACAGTAGATATGGTAAGTATGTGCGATAGCTCGTGAACAACAATGCTACGAATATCCATGTGTATGATATGTACGTATCCATAGGCACACTTATCTTGACCCTCATCCACGTGTGATTGACTCAACTGCCATATCGTATATCTCTATACATCAGACATAAGTATTAACAGTTAAATGTTGACGGTATTTTCCATACAAATCATCAGATTTGAGACCATTTAGCGTAGCTCAAACTTCAGCAAGGATTATGTATATTACCTGATTGGCCTTTGATGACATACAACATGGGAGGGACACAGTCAGGTGAGATGTAACGTCTTAACGTCGCGTATGTAGGTTAGTGTTTGTTTGTTTGTTTGTTGTGTAACGCCGCACTCAGCAATATTCCAACTATATGACGGCAGTCGGTAAATAATCGAGTCTGGACCAGACAATCCAGTGATTGACTGACCACCCGATCCCGATAGTCACCATTTACGACAAGCATAGTCGATATTTACGGCAAGCATGGGTTGCTGAAGACCTATTCTACCCCGGATCTTCACGGGTCTTACAAAATTAGGTTACGTTGCATACATCATCTAAGTCATCGAGCCTGGCCACCTGATCCCGTTAGTCGCCTCTGATTTTTTTATTTGTCTTTGCATGTGTATCATCTGGTATCATCTGGAATCATCTGGAATCATCTGGTATCATCTGGTATCATCTGGAATCATCTGGTATCATCTGGTATCATCTGGTATCATCTACATTTGACAGTGATTCATAAACACATGGTCACGATATAGTCGGAATCGTACAATCGACTCTGCCTTTTGCAGAGATTTCTTATGAATATGGAATGGGTTCTGTCGTTGTATTTAGACCAACAATCGAAACAGGGCACATCTGGGGTTTGAACTCGCTGTCAGTGATTCATGGCACAACTGAAGGCACGCAATCACTGCGACATGATTCATAGAAGGTACACCGCGGTACGATGACACATTATCAAACATGTCACGATCGTGTAGTTATCTCTTAAGCACAATACAATATACTTCTGGTTCATCGATCACTTGATCGTCTAGTTTGTTTACAGGCTGACGGAGTACTGTTGTGCGGCGTCAGGCAATAAATATTTACTTTTTTATTCAAATTGTATGAATGGAGGGTGCTATCGGTAGGTCAGATATGCTTTCCTTTTCGCGAACACCTGGTGTCATCACTGAATTTCAGTGATCCATTCATTAAATTTCCACATTTATTTTGCCCTTTACGCCAAATGGCATCTGTTTCAGCAGATAATCTAGGCTGGTTATTCTTTAGCATTAACAATTTATAATTACATATATATTGAGGCTAGTCTAACCAGTAATTCATGGAAATTGGATTCAACGTATCTGACCTACATGTATGTGTTTCAGGAGCCTGCGTTAGTACTAAATTGATGGCTCATGCAAGCAATCATTGTTTTCCTTCATTCAAGACTTCAGACGTTCGATTCCAGACCCGAATAGATCGCCCACACGCCACGCATACCCGAAGAGCTGACTAAGCTTGGTTAGGGTCAAGGTGTGACTAGGTTGTGTGTCACGGTTCCCCGATGTTGTGGTTCGAACCGCTGGTTTGTCTGGCCCGGACTCACAAACACAAAAAAACTCACTCTAACCTATTTTTACAAGGAGACTTTTCCTTGCGATCTTATCAAAGGTTCTGCATACTGAGATGGGGCTATACCGTATTGAAGGAATCGTAACTTGGTCAATAAATTGATGAAATAGTGCTGACGTGACTTCAAATTTTAACTCAATCACTCATCATTATTTGACTTTTGATCCCTTTAGTGTTGATCAATTCAGTTGCTTTCTCATATTTCATCACTATTCACATCGAAGAGACTGTCTGATATAATAAGTGGGTGAGTGAGTCTGGTTTTACGTCGATTTTAGCAACAACCGAGCAATATCACGGCTGGGAACACTAGAAATGGACTTCAAACATTGTACCCATGTGGGGAATCGAACCTGGGTCTTCGGCGTGACGAGCGAACGCTTTTATCACAAGGCTACCCCTCACTCATTCATCGTTATATCCATACTTAAAACGATGTGCCGGTTTTTTCAGGGAAGCGATCTTCACAGCCTCTTCTATATGGCGGTAAGAAATCTTTAATTTCCTTAATCTTATTCAAATACTACTATAATCGTCCACGCAAATTTTTACTTGAGAGGCTGAGAAAAGTAACATGAAGTAGGCCAAACTATGTCAAATGTATCAAACCTATTCCAGAGCACGCGCTAGTGTTCTGGTGTAGTTGCAAGCTGCTACGACCAAGCACGTGAAAGCACTCAGGTTGGAAAACAAAAAACTGTCATTGAGAATTCAAGTAAAAATATTCATATCGTAGTTAGCTTATTGAACGCGCCTCGTATATCAAGCCACCCTGAGTTGAGTCTATAATTTTAGGCAGGTAGAAATTGTGACTACAAACACTTCATTTTATTGTTATTATTTATTTCTATGGATCTTACCACTGATCATGGAGAACTATAAACGTAATAAAGGGAACTACTAGTATGTTACTCTGTCATTTATATTTATTGAGTTATAACGTTGGCATGAAACATTTTAATGAACAAATTGAGTGAGTAGGTATGGTTTTACGCCGCTTTGGGCAATATTCTAGCAATATCATGTTCCCATGTTGGGAATCGAACCCGGGTCTTCGGCGTGACAAGCGAACGCTTTAACGACTCGGCTTCCCCGTTGCCCCAATGAAAAAAGTAGTAAACACGAATGTTCAGTATGTACCTGTATCTATTCCCTATTTGCATCCATCGGTTCTTCCTTAAACGCTTATTAATTTTTTATTGCACGTCCCCGTTCGAACGATATGAATTGAAATAAATAAAATAGCTTCCCGGTCAGTATAAGCTACATGTACGTATGAAATGGGATACCAAATGAATACGTCATATTTCTAAGAAGTTCAGTTCTGCACTGTATTTTTCTGTTTAGTTGATTATAATAAGGTGCTTTTGATTGTGTTTATCTTAAATACTTTATTTATGTACGTACATTGTACATGTGTATTAGACATAAATAGTTTCATTCCTCGGATCACCTTGCCATTAACACGGTAGCGTAAAGATCATACTGACATTAATAACTTCTACTATATATAGTACCTGGTTTTGTTATAACGGGGTGATTGTGACATTATAACAGGGTGATAGTGTTATCTACATTTTATCTGAACAGTGGTAGCAACTGTAAGCAACACCGGTCTTGTTAGATAAGAAGGGTAAATACAGATTCACTGTAGGATTATTATTATTTAATCATATAATACTGCTTAAAATTTTATCAACCTCATTTACAGACGAGTATGACACCCCAACAGCTTCGACCCTGTACTGCTGTTGTCTTGGAAGAAAAATAAAAATGCCCATAAAGTATGGAAGTGACCAAAAACAACAGGCATATCGCTTGCAGGAATACCCCATGTTGATAGATCCAGGTACATTTATCTACCCCTTACATATTTACTCTATGAAGATGAATTCAGGAATATGATCTACCCCTCACACATGCACTCTCTGTTGATGTATCTTCCCCTTACACGAGTATTTCATGGTGATAGATCCAGGTGCATTATTTATCCCTTACATATATATCCCATGTTGATAGATCCAGATACACTATCTATCCCTTACATATATACCCATGTTCATAGATCCAGGTACATTATCTATCCCTTACATATATACTCCATGTTGATACATCCAGATACATTTTGTATCCCTTACATACATACCCCGTGTTGATAGATCCAGGTATATTATATATCCATTACATATATACCCCGTGTTCATAGATCCAGGAGCATTATCTATTCCTTGCATATTTACCTTATGTAAATAGACCCAGGTACATTATCTATCCCTTTCATATATACCCCATGTTGATAGATCCATATAAGTTATCTTTCCCTTACATATATACCCCGTGTTGATAGACCCAGGTACATTATCTATCCCTTTCATATATACCCCATGTTGATAGATCCATATAAGTTATCTTTCCCTTACATATATACCCCGTGTTGATAGATCCAGGTACATTATCTCTCTCTTACATATATACCCCGTGTTGATAGATCCATGTACATTATCTACCCCTTACATACATACCCCATGCTGATAGATCCAGGTGCATTATCTATCCCTTAGATATATACCCAATGTTGATAGATCCAGGTACATTTTCTATCCCTTACATATATACTTGTGTTGATAGATCCAGGTGCATTATCTATCCCTTACATATATACCCTATGTTGATAGACCCAGGTACATTATCTATCTCTTACATATATACCCCATGCTGATAGATCCAGGTGCATTATCTATCCTTTAGATATATACCCCATGTTGATAGATCCACGTACAATTTCTATCCCTTACATATATACTTGGGTTGATAGATCCAGGTGCATTATCTATCCCTTACATATATACCCCGTGTTGATAGATCCAGGTAAATTATCTATCCCTTACATACATACCCCATGTTGATAAATCCAGATACATTATCTATCCCTTAGATATATACCCATGTTCATAGATCCAGGTACATTATCTATCTCTTACATATATACCCCGTGTTGATAGATACAGGTATTTTTTCTATCCCTTACATATATACCCATGTTCATAGATCCAGGTACATTATCTATCCCTTACATATATACCCATGTTCATAGATCCAGGTGCATTATCTATCCCGTACATATATTCCCATGTTCATAGATCCAGGTGCATTATCTATCTCTTACATATATACCCATGTTCATAGATCCAGGTACATTATCTATCTCTTACATATATACCCCATGTTGATAGATCCAGGTACATTTTCTATCCCTTACATATATAATTGTGTTGATAGATCCAGGTGCATTATCTATCCCTTACATATATACCCCATGCTGATAGATCCAGGTGCATTATCTATCCCTTAGATATATACCCCATGTTGATAGATCCAGGTACATTTTCTATACCTTACATATATAATTGTGTTGATAGATCCAGGTGCATTATCTATCCCTTACATATATACCCATGTTGATAGATCCAGGTACATTATCTTTCTCTTACATATATACCCCATGTTGATAGATCCAGGTACATTATCTATCTCTTACATATATACCCCGTGTTGATAGATCAAGGTGCATTATCTGTCTCTTACATATATACCCCATGTTGATAGATCCAGATGCATTATCTATCCCTTTCATATACACCCCATGCTGATAGATCCAGGTGCATTATCTAACCCTTAGATATATACCCAATGTTGATAGATCCACGTACATTTTCTATCCCTTACATATACACTTGAGTTGATAGATCCAGGTGCATTATCTATCCCGTACATATATTGCCCATGTTGATAGACCCAGGTACATTATCTATCCCTTACATATATACCCAATGTTGACAGACCCAGGTACATTAACTATCTCTTAGATATATACCCCATGTTGATGAATCCAGATACATTATCTATCCCTTAGGTATATACCCATGTTCATAGATCCAGGTACATTATCTGTCTCTTACATATATACCCCATGTTGATAGATCCAGATGCATTATCTATCCCTTTCATATACACCCCATGCTGATAGATCCAGGTGCATTATCTAACCCTTAGATATATACCCAATGTTGATAGATCCACGTACATTTTCTATCCCTTACATATACACTTGAGTTGATAGATCCAGGTGCATTATCTATCCCGTACATATATACCCCATGTTGATAGACCCAGGTACATTATCTATCCCTTACATATATACCCAATGTTGACAGACCCAGGTACATTAACTATCTCTTAGATATATACCCCATGTTGATGAATCCAGATACATTATCTATCCCTTACATATATACCCTATGTTGATAGACCCAGGTACATTATCTATCTCTTACATATATACCCCATGTTGATAAATCCAGATACATTATCTATCTCTCACATATATACCCCATGTTGATGAATCCAGATACATTATCTATCCCTTACATATATACCCTATGTTGATAGACCCAGGTACATTATCTATCTCTTACATATATACCCCATGTTGATAAATCCAGATACATTATCTATCTCTTACATATATACCCCATGCTGATAGACCAAGGTACATTAACTATCTCTTACATATATACCCCATGCTGATAGACCCAGGTACATTAACTATCTCTTACATATATACCCCATGCTGATAGACCCAGGTACATTAACTATCTCTTACATATATACCCCATGTTGATAGACCCAGGTACATTAACTATCTCTTACATATATACCCTATGTTGATAGACCCAGGTACATTATCTTTTCCTTACATATATACCCCATGCTGATAGATCCAGGTGTATTATCACTCCCTTACATATACCCCATGTTGATAGATCCAGGCACATTATCTATCCCTTTCATATATACCCTATGTTGATGGATCAAGGTAAATTACATGAGTACCCCAATTTTATATTTCCGAAAGAGACATGCACATTTTATATGAAAGAAAGTATGAATACACCAAAATAAAGATTGGGTGGTGCTTCACTCTTGTCCAGGTGTATATATGATTATTGGGAGTACCCTCTTCCAACAGTCGCTTTCCGGGTCCACTCTGCTGTTGCTGATAAGCGTTTTGGCAAGGCCATGATCAGGTTTGTTCAGCGTTCTGGACACGTGTCGCTCCAAGACACCGAAACTGATGACGTTACAGCGGTCAGTCCTCTAATTGTCTTCTGTCTCAACAACAGTTCAGTGGACGCAGATGCAGGCAGAGCTCTCAGCGAGGCTAGAGGTCAGCTTTAGACAAGTAACATCTCAAAGCATGAATGTTTCATATAAACAAGTCTTAGATAACATTTACCAAGATTGTATTTCACGAGAATATATTCTAAAATGTTTCAAGCCATTTGTATTGGATACATAATGATTCATAATAAAATCAGAAACATGACAGAAAACCTAAAGACTGGACAGATAGAGACAGGAATTTACACTGTTTTATTATATATTTCCAGATAAAGAAAACAAATCATCACCAAATTAATAATAATAACCTTTACTTTCTGTTCCTGGTTAGAAGAGACCATTTACGCATTAAATGTTTGGTTGCGATATTGACGTTCGAATTGCATATAAATAATGTGTATCATGCTTCAAATGCTGAAGCTTAATATAGTACCACTTTCAAGATTATCCAGATGCTTTTAATGTTTTTAACGCTACACAAAACGTATTCCGTTCACGTTGATTTGGAGTATGAAAAGTGATGACCTTTATGTTCGTCTGTTTTCAGAGGGTAATGATGTGTTTCTGGTGGTGATCAAAAATGTAAACCCAAGCTCACCCTACAACAACACCCTCAGTCTCTCTGCTAAGAACAGGCGCCGCATTGGTGGGTGTGGAATACTTACATACTCTACGGATTCCAGGAAGTTCCAGGAAACAGATGACAATATGGACATGTTAAGGCGATTACGTCACTTCTTACTGGACGCAGTTGTTGAAATTGATTAAGCACTTAATCTTTGCATAAACATTTACAACGACGTGCTCCAAGAAACTGTCTGATTGCCGCTCGACAATCAGTTATGTGCAAGCCTTATGGCTATGATCTTAAAAGACGACAGACATTTGTCGTTTGCTTTATACGTATTGTGATGACAAAAACTGATGTTTTATCTTTAAGAATAATTTACAGAGGCATTAATTGTAAATTAATGTACATCCGATCTCTTTACTCTAAAATGTACCAGAAATCTAGCTTACACGACGTAGATCATTAGGATCGCGTACGTGTGAATGATTGTATATTTGCATGCATTGTGACATACATTACATTGTTTCTGTCTGTGATTGAGTGAGTTCGTGTACCAGGGTTCATTGTACAGCTGGTATTTCAAACCTACATGTATATGAAACGAAATGGGCTCTGCTATCTGTGCGTGTATTAACTCAATTCCATGTTCTTAATGTCCCTCTGAAAAATATAATTTGGTCGCGTATGAGTTATTTCAGGAATAAACCCTGCATTTAAAATCAGTTTGCGTCGCATTGGTGAACATATATTAACATATATCATTGACTTTTATATTTTGAATTAATTTACCTGTATTATATCAATCAACGGAATGACTATGACGAATCGTTTTCATGGTTTTATCACATACAATTTTACCTTCAAGTTTTCACCGTGATCTACAATGTACCACGAACAAAATATACACAAATGATGATATGTAGGTGCCGATCATCTCGATATAAACATACTCTGTTGTCAATAACACATTCTCCTTTTTGTTTTGTAATAAATTATATTATTTTAATGTTTGTTTGTTTGTTTGTTTGTTTGTTTGTTTGTTGTTTAATGCCGCAGTATCCCAGCTATATGATGGCGGTCTGTAAATAATCGAGTCTGGTCCAGACAAGCCAGTGATTGACATCATGAGCATCGATCCACCGCATTTGGGATACGGTGACATGCATCAGCAAAGTCAGCGAGCCTGACCACCCGATCCCGTTAGTTGTCTCTTGCGACAAGCATAGTCGCCTTTTAGCTCAAGAATGGGTTGCTGAAGACCTCTTCTACCCCGGATCTTCACGGGTCAAATATTATTTTAATAACTTAAAACGGCTTTGTGATAATCATTTTGTGGTGGAAAATCACTGTTGTTGCAATTGCGTCATTTATTCTCTGTTCTGTGGTTACATCTGCATTCTAAACATATCTGTGTTGCACATTTACATAATATATTCAACACGGTTTGGATTATCGGAGGTTCCAAGCCAGTAAAACATGCCTCTGATACATTCAAACAACCACACACGTGTGAGGGGAATTACAGATCAACGTCCTTCTCTATGCTTATGCTTTTGCTTGTTATTTTTATTGACAATCCCGGTATTGTAACTGCTGATATAAGCAATTGGACTTTTAAAATGGGGATGTGAGGCCACTAGACAATTTAAATGCACGTTCGAGAAAACAATGTGGGTTTTTACTCGATTATAAACGACATCGAGAAACCATACATTTCACATTCACAGTGTTATATTACCCTTCACTGTCTTATACTATTATAATGAATAGATAATAAATGTATATGGTCGTCTTCAAAGATCATTGCTCTGTTCGATAACACCTTATACATACAAATACTACTTATTTCCATCAAGCTTGAATAGATGTCTTTAGTTACCTGCAACGTTCTTTGAAAGCCATGTTTTATATATCGAAAAATTATACATACAGTAGAATATGTGTATCTATGGCAATAGGTAATTGTATCAACAGAATCCATAAATTGTGTCTACTTTGTCAAAATCCATGAGTTCGCTGCATTATGACGTCATTTCTCATTACGTCATTTTGGCATAATACGAAGTGACGTGTCGTCAGTCCTGTTTTTCGCCATTGGAAAGATATGCATCGATCGATTTCTGGTGTTAGTATGGGAGTAGAATATACCTGTCTGTACATACACATTGAGTATTAAGCGCATAGTACAGGTATCATGTGTCAAGTCTGTCCCTTCCACTGGAAATGAAATTTGATATGACGATACTGGTGACCTTAACGCGTATTGTTTACGTATCAGCATCTTATCTACACAATGTGATTTCAAAGGTCCCTTACACAATACAATCGCTAATACCGAGGTAAGCATGACATCTATTTTCCTTCTTGTAACTATGCGTTGTTTGAATTTTACAACGAGGACATAACACAGTATTTTGGTTTCACTGCATATACGTTCATGGAGGCAGTAAGAGCCCGTGTATAAACTTAAGCATGTGCCATGCCATGCAATGTTACAGTGGTAGCGTGTCAAGTTTGTTTATAGTGAATGCGGGAGTGTCCGTTTATCTGTTAGGCCTGACTGAAGCATGACTGTGACACGCCCCTTGGATGAAGCATAGCTGTGACACACCCCTTGGATGAAGCATGACTGTGACACACCCCTTGGATGAAGCATGACCGTGACACACCCCTTGGATGAAACATGGGTAGCTCGACATCAGGTGATGCTTTGTGCCGAAGTTCATTAATCAGGATCCTAAAATAGGTGTACAAAAGTTAAATCAGCTTGTAAATCACACTCCTGCATGTATACATGTATATTGTTCATGATGATAAGCGTCCCTTGAACACGCCAGAAACCTATGATTGTGAGTTCGAATCCCGGTTCGCCCCGATTATGTTTCTAGGTTTGTCAGCACCATACCCGTGCTCGTGGGTTTCAGCGAAGCGGTAAACGTCTGAGACCTCCATCACTTCGGGCTTTCCTCCCACATTAAGCTGACACGCTATGATATAACTGGAATAATGTTAAAAGTGGCGTTAAACCCAACTCACTCACTCACTCACTCACTCACTCACTCATGATTATAAGGGGCGGCGGGGTAGCCTGGCCTCGTCACACCGAGTTTCGATTCCCCAAATGGGTACAATATGTGAAGCCCGTTTTTGGTGCCCCCGCCGTGATATTACTGTGATATTGCTAAAAGCGGGGCAACTCACTCACTCATAATGATAAAGGGTCTCATAACACACCTTGTTTAATGGCAACAAGGAATACACGTGCATTCACACAATGCATATTCCTTCATGATCATGATCACTGTGGTGTATACAAATACGGGTTGAATGTTTAGTTATATTTCATAATTCATGTGTTTGAATATGACGTGGGAGGAAAGCCAGAGGATATATAGGGTGTAGACGTTTACCTTGGGTCATCGTATATCGTATTCACCCTCAGATATATCTCAAACACTTGTGTAACGATGTTCAGTTGACATAAGACAAATCAGTTCTTTGGGAAACGTGCAGTGAAATAAACATGAATTTTAGTTTCATATTATGCGATGGAAGATTCGGCCCTGATTCAGAAGGTAAAAGACAAAGTCAGGCGGAAGTGTAAGCTGAATCTGAAAAAGGTGTCAGCTCGTTCCCAAGCCAGCCCCCTACTTCTTTTCTGCGAGGTCACAACTACCATCGATAAGGCTGTCAATGACATCGTTAAAGAAGCTAGAGGTATCATTTCATTTGAATTCTTGACATGCACAATTCAACGAAGGATACCCATACGCACAATGGCATTAAACAAATTAACATTTGATTTCATTTCTTAACAACACATAACACATGACTTACAAATTGTTGTCTACTTGGCTTTGAAACTTAGGGACCGACCATTTTATATTCTGGGATGGGGGTGATGACTAAGATTAAAAAAGAAATTGTCCTAGAGAATGCTTAAAAAATAAAACAAGGACATTTGTCTGTCACTAAAATGCATTGTTGCAATATGTTGTTTATTTATTTATTTTTTTAAAAAGTAGTATTTGGCCTAAAACAAAAATAGAGAGGATATTCCATGCGACGAGTGAAATATCATGCTTCTCTCATCGAGTAACGGGGAAAAGGTGATATTTTCTTGAGATGAGACGAAAATGATATTTCACTCGACACATGGAAAATCCTATTTATTAAATACTTTTTTGTGTAGTTGGCTACCGGAAAATTGAATTATTTCATAACAAATCGAAAACCTTGAAACGTAAAATTTCCCTACCTAACACACAGGGTCGTTTCACCATCCCTTGTAAGTGCGACTTTAAAGTAATTTAAATTAAAATCTGAAAAAATATAAACAAAAGTAACAAAAAAATATTTGATGTCAAGTAACAAATGTTGTGCCTTTCGGAATGAACAGCCTCGATTGACGAGTTAAATGAGAATTTACAGTTTACAACAAAACAATTTCAAGAGTAATATTTTCCACCACTCGACAAGAAGCAATATTACATGTAACGCCATAAATAACCATCTGTCACTATTTTGCCTTGTCAATGCGGAACTAACGTCAATAGGAAGTCAACAGTTTGTGTACGGGCTAGACAATTGCGATAAAGGGAGCTAATTGGCGGGGAGGTTACTCTTGTAAGACAATAGTTCCGTCGAAGTGTAATGTTCACTGCAGTGAAATATTATGTCTGATGTTCAGTGTTTTTGTTCACTGCAGTAAAATATCAAGTGTTATGTTCACTGCGATGAAAATACCTCTTTTCTGAACTTCAAATTAATATGATTTTGCAACTGTAGCTGAAAAATTATTACTTACCAATACAGAATCCTAACACCTTCCAGCGCCTCCGTGGTCTAGTGGTAGAGCGTCCCCCCGGAGAGCGGAAGGTCCGGGGTTCGATCCCCGGCCGCGTCATACCAAAAGACGTTAAAAGATGGTACTTGTTGTTACCCTGTCTGGCGCTCGGCATTAAGGGGCTAAAACAAGGACTGGTCGGCTCGGAGTCAGTATACTGTGTCTGAGTGGGGTATTCATGCTAAACTGCGGCATTGTATCTCAGTGGGCTAGCACTTTAAATCGGCATCAGTCCGGACTAGTACAAGCAGCCACACACACACACACACACACATGCATGCACGTCGCTATATAAGTGCAATAATCTTCGACGCGACGTTAAACCCAATTTCACCTCACCTAACAACTTCCCCGAATATTTAATGATCGGTCCCTCACAAACGTTAATTAGGAGGCCTGGGTGTCTACTCGGCTTTGAAATTAATTACAAAAGAATACCGCAAAAATACCCGAACCAGCTCCTTAACCTTCAGTCATAATGGACACCCGTTACTATTGCAAATCTTTGATATAATTCTCCTGTTACTACGTTCATTGCAGGTGGCGATGATGTTTTTGTGGTCACGGTTAAAGTCAGCAATAGACACCCTGGAAAAAACAAGCATTTGTCCGATTTCATAGCGGAAAGCACAAGGAGATTAATTGGAGACGCTTGTGTGTTCTTCTTTGACATGAACCTTGCATCAACTGATTACCGAAATGACAATAAAATTGCCTTTTGTGGAATAAAACGGTTCATGGCAGATGTCAAGCCAGCTGATAGACATATGATACTGCCTCATGTCACTTTTCAGAGACATCCCTTCCTCAATGAGCCAGGTAAATATAATTACTAATATAACATATTGTGACCCTATATAATATAGTGACCCGCCAAGAGAAAAGGGACCTTTTGGGTGCTAGGGTACACTTGTGCTATGACGTCATCAAGACGTTTGACGTCAGCTTCCTTTAGTGAAGATCGCCATGTGTGATGTCATGTATTTCTGTAACAAATATGAATTGAAGCTTGTGAATTGTATATTTATATTCCGAAGGTGCCGTAGTTTAAAAATATAATGAAAAGTTAAAATGAAAATTTTCACCCATAAGGTTCCTTATCTCATGGTCGGTCACGTATGATGTTTTCAACAAAGCGTCATTCGTAACAGGACACAACAACATGATTATTTGTTTATTTTAATTTGTCATAGAAGAGTAGCTTGGGGATAGCTAAATATGAAAACGTTTGGATTCCTCACGTTGGACTTGTGCATTTTAAAGGCGGCCATGTCAAGTAGTTTGCTGTATTCTAGGCCGGACCATATGCACGTGCGTTCAACTTGCGCCTATTGATACAGCGCGCTTCATGTAGGCATGGTATATATACAAACGTAATCACAACAGTGTTTCTTGTGGACTAGAAGGTGCATTGTTGTCGTAAGTCATAATACATGGGACAAAATAAGAAAAACTGATGTTCGCTTTAAATTACATCATGAACGTACACATAATGAATTGTATAGCTCGTTCCTCATTTTTAACTTCGACAGATTTTCACGAAAATAACAAATATTTAACGGAATTGTCTTTGTGTTATTGTATACAAATACTCCTCAGACTCTAACAAGCTTTTAAATCTTTGATCATTGTCAGTCGATAACAACTTGCTTTCCAACATAGTGAGTGAGTGAGTGAGTGAGTGAGTGAGTTTGGTTTAACGCCGCTTTTAACAGTATTCCAGTTATATCACGGCGTGTCAGCTTAATGTAGGAGGAAAACCCGAAGTGATGCAGGTCTCAGACGTTTACCACTTCGGTGAAACCCACGGGCACAGGCATTGTGCTGACAAACCTAGAAACATAATCGGGGCGAACCGGGATTCGAACCCACAATCATAGGTTTTCTGGCGTGCCCAAGGGACGCAACTCTGCACAGCGAATCGCGGCGCCTTAGACGACTGGGCCACCCGTGCCCCCCTTTCCAACATAGAATTTCACTTCTGGTACAAACTGTTAACTAATAAATGTTTGAATAGAAAAGCCGCTGAATTGCAACACAGAAATAAAGGAGGATAACAGAGAGTTGAAGTGCGAACATTTGTGGTACTATATCCGGCATTGTCAAGATACAAGAACATAATGTAAGGGGTAAGGTGGTACATCCCGTTGTATTAACACTGTAGAACATGTACATATGATTAGACATTTACGCTTCATTTTTCAGTTTTTGGGTAATATGTCTTCGTTTGTAAACACACTGCAGATATAAACGTACCATTTTTCAGTTTGCTTCTATTTTGAACCTGGGAGTCACATGGAACAAGACACACTGACCTTCGTGCAGGACGTAGGGCAGTTCCCCTTGCAGAAGTGTGCCAGATCTGACGTCAGGTCTGTCAGCCCGCTCATTGTGTTCACACTTTGCTACACCCGTGTTGATGAGGATGCTAATTCAATCCTCAGACAAGCCAGAGGTAACCTTTGCTTTATTTAGGGAACATGTTCAAATGCTTGTATTAATATGTCTTACTATGTGTTGGGTTAGTATGCTTACCGAAAGATGGAGTCGCTATATGGCTGAAATAATGCCCGTGCGACGTTAACTTGTAACTCACTCACTCGCTGAGAGATGGTCGTTTAAATTTACTTTATCATATGATAAGCAGAGAGATATATATGTAGACAGTGATTTATTAAATATATTGTTTTAAAAAGTGCAGTGTGTATTATTCATAGAAATGATCCATCATAAAATTGGCTATCACTATTCCCTCTCATACACCTCAAAATTTGAGATATGCGTTCGGTCAAACAGAGTGCAGTTTTCATATCAATTGTTTGATAAAGGTTAGCGCAGTACCTCTAAACTTCTGCATTCCTAACGATGACAGTTTTAAGAATGCGTTGATCAAAATATATTGGCAACCACTAAGTGACTAAATATGCAGTATATGTTCTTCAGATGGACATGACGTGTTTCTGGTGGTGATAGAAAGTGCCTACAAGCACTCAGCAATCACAATCAGCAATGTTCCACATCTATCTTCAAGGACCAGAAGTCGTATTGGAGAGAGCGGCACACTGGTGTACTCACTTGACTGCAAGAGCTTTCAAGAAACGAGTCAGAATATGCAGATGATACAAAGATTACGGAAGTTTCTTATCGACACGGTGGAAGCAAACAAATCCAATAGTTTAAGAAGATCAAGAAGTACTTTAGCCGATTGCCGTGGAACACTGCTTTGAACACGAGAATATGACAGTTCTTGGCAAGTGTCTTCTCCAAAAGCTTGTTTTTTCACACTTCAGGGGAGGTGAAGGCTCCTTCTTTAGCCCAGACGAACAGAAACTCGATATTGGAATATCGTTTATATTGTAAGAGTAAATTGACTGCACATTCTTGTTAACCCTGATCACCACGTTTAATGAAAAAAAACCCATGGTTCAAAGAACGAAGTTTCCCCTCAGGTTTTTCGTGTGGGATGGCGGTGTACAAAGTTGAAAAATCAAATATTTTGACGTAATTGCAGTTGCTTCTTTTCTGAGATTGCTAAACTTGAAGTTAGTTCAAGTATTTGAGAATCCACTTGTCTCAAATACTTTTTATGGATCATGTGAAGACAGTTCTTTGATTGTATTAATGCATATGAGGTACATTTATAGCATTATGTCCCTCTTTTTACAGATATGTTATTTGACATCCAGTACAAAAGAGGAATGGACATATCTTCAGGCTTTAGAACCTAGCATAAAGGTGATAGTGCTGATGCATGTTTGTCACAGATGTACTCCTCTGTTACCAAACATGTGGACTTTATTTGATATGTTACTTATACCAAGTTCTTTGATCAAATAAATAATGTAATGATGCTTACATGTTACAGATATAGGCCTTGTCAGTTGGAAAAAGTACGAACATGCAATGTAGGGCAGCCAGACTATGGATGACGGCTGGCCAGTACAGTATGACTTTATTGCAATTCTGTGTCCAGTTTTCGGTGTGTACATTCTAAAAATGACACCATACCCACTGACTTAACCTACTCTGAAAGACAATCAACAGTTTCCTATTTTCTATTAGCCCATGTTTGACATACGCTTCGATAGCATTCATAATGATTGTAAATTGGTATTGCAGTTCACGATATTTTCAGCTATATTTAAATAATTTGAACTGACGAAAGTTGATGTCAACAATAGGGATACCACCTGTAGTTATATGACTAGCAGGTTGGTAGACAAACTCCTGGAGCCATTCCCGTGGTTCACGTGATCTCAAATTACGCGCCCCTGATTTCCACAACCAATTTGATTTGCTAGACTGTTCGGTCTAACGGACCAATGAGAATGGGAGTTAGAAACCAGCCTCAATGTTGGGGTCGATATCAACAACATGGCGGCCAGTTCCATTGATTACCATTGAGTTTGCAAGAAATTCAACGCTGAAAACCCCAAAACGTTTTTGATGGAAAGGATGTGTTCATGTCCACTGAAACTGGCGGTGGCAAATTCCCCTTACCAATTTTTGTTTTCCTTATTTCGAGATTTATTGGTCGGAAAATGTTTTAAGGAAAATCATGGTTGGATATATTGAGATCGCGAGACCTCACGAATGGATCGAGAGATTATTGAGAGTAACTTACCGAAATGTGAGCCCTGGGCATATTGGGCATGAGTTGGTGGCGACGTTTGTTTATATGATAAATAAGTTGAAAGCGTAAAGACCAGCATCACTTCAGGCTTTACTCCTTTCAAATGGAGACGCCGTTTTAAGTGGCGTTAAACTAAACTCAATCACTAACTCACTATGAGGGCCCAAGTACAGAAGTAGATCTTATCTTACGAATGTAAATATTAATTAGAAAAAATCGAATGTGTGTAATTAAATAAATTCATTAAAACATTTTGACATATATCTTCCGCAATACCTTTAATCCATACAGGATATCCTCCTTATGTTCACGGAAAGCCTTTTACAAAGTATAAAACCACCATTAACAGTGCCCACATCAAGCATCTATTATACAGCGTAAATAACAACTGTAGGTTACTCGAAAATGTAATTAGCCAAATATCTAATATTCATCAATTATATATGTGATTTGCTTTGTGGAACAATAAAACAATTTATACGTCATACGTTTTTCATTTGTATTTCCGTTTAACACGAGATTAAATAAAAAAGGGCACATTTAATGTAAGCCAGTTTGGTGCATATTTCCAGATTGAATTGTTTGTTATATTTAGGATAAATTCTTGCAAACTTACAAAGGCGCATATGGTATAAGAAGGTGCGCGAAAGGGGAACTAAATTGATGAAATGGCCACCAGAGGACACGAGTCGTAACTCGGGTCGTTCCGGATTGACACAATTAGTGACACAATGTGGTGACACAACCGGTACACCGTCTGAACAAGCAATGTACTACAAAGATATTTTTGGCTATCATATTTAAAATCAGATTGGATATCCTATTGAAGACATATATTAATTTGTTTGTTGTTTGACACCGCACTCCGCAATATGACATCTACATGCCGGCGGTCTGTATATAAAGGAGTCTGGACCAGACAAACCAGTTATTGTATGAGCAATAATCACGCATTTGGGGACAGGAAACTTCAATCAACCAAGTGGCCCCTTACAACAAGCAAAGGTTCCTGGGACAATTCTTATTGCCATGGAGGTAGGGCATTTAAAAAAAAGATGGACTTTTTTGCAAAGTTATTTCTATGATTTACAACTAGGATGTACATACACAGCAGGATCTTCCCATTGAATTGAAACTTATTCAGTCTTCTAGTTCTGGATGTATACACTCTTCAAAAAAAGAAACGCACAGGTAGATTTTTAGTACATTTATCGAACCTCATAAAGTCGATATATTTGATTTAATATCATAGATACAAATATGAAATTTTGAAGCTCGATAGTCACATGTTGTCGGTGTACAAAGACATTGAAAACTGTTCATTGTCATGTCACATAAGGCCACAAGGTTGCGCTGAACTCAATATCTCGTGTGACCGCCCAGGGCAGCAATCACGGCTCTGCATCTCCTCGGGACTGACTGGATAAGTGTACGAATTCTTCTTGGGAAATTCTGCGCCATTCTGCTTGTAACGCGTTGGCCAGTTGTGTGAGTGTCTGCGGCGTGTTCTGATGTTGACGTACACGTCGATGGAGTTCATCTCAGAGGTGTTCCCTTGGGTTGAGATCTGGAGATCTCGACGGCCAGGGCAGGTCGTTGATGTTGGCATTATGAAGGAAGAGTATGTGCGGTGGAGCGTTGTCCTGTTGAAACAGCTCCCTCTGGCGGTCAATGATTGGAAGAAGGTGAGGTTGAAGAATTTGATTCATCCAGTGATTTGCTGTCAACCCCACCCCCTTCCACACCATGGCACTACCGCCACCGAAATTCACGTCGAATTCACGTACACGTACACAATACGGGGCAAACCGCTCATTTCGACGACGATAAACACGTTGTCCTCCATCTTGTCGGTGAAGAAGAAATTCCAAGGCTGTAAGGTATGACACCGACGCAAGCGTCGCTGTCGCTGGATCTGTTACAAAACAGGGACAATAACTGGATTTCTGGGTCGGATTCAAGCCTCGCGAAGATGGTTCCTGACAGTCTGGTCCGATATCCTCCTCAAACCAGGGATGCGTCCTGAAGTCTCCGTAGCTGCGGCATTGCGATGACGTGGGCGGAACAGTCGAATGAAGCGATCCTGTGCAGGGGCGGTAACTCTTGGTTTGGCCGGTTCTCGGACGGTCTGCAGTGGAACTGAACTGTGTGTATCGGGCTCAAAGGCGGCAAATGGTGCTGTGGTGGACGTTGAAGTGGCGTGCAACAGAAGACTGCGATTCCCCTCTTTGGATACGTCCTATGGCGATGCTCCGATCGGCAGCGCTGAGTCTCGGCATTTTCGACATTTCGAAAAATGTTGACAATTGAATGACAACTTATTGGCTTATGCATGCTTGCCTTTATATAGCCACTACCACGAGATACGAATGCCATTACTTGCACTAGCATTTTGCTTTACTGTTTTTCTCCATGACATTTTTTAACAAGTGTGAAAACAATGCCGTTAAAGGCATTGCAAATCGACAATGACGCACCGTTTGTCGAATATCAGGCCACCAGCATTTTCCAATATATATCCATTTTTTATACCGGATATTTTGTGTATTTAGGTTCAATGAACTACATACTACCTGTGCGTTTCATTTTTTTGAAGAGCGTATGCATTTGTCATGTCTCGTAGTCATACGTGTATGGTTGTTGTTGCCTCTTTGAGCAATATTCCAGCAACAACACGCTTCGGGGACGCCTGAAATGCGGTTGACGCTTTGTACAATGTACCTATGAGGGGAAGTGAACCCGGGGCATCGGAGAGACGGGCACATAACTTAACCACTAGGTTCACCCACTTATAAAAGGCCACTTAACACCCTTGCCGAACTAGGCTGGAATTTCTGGGCTCGATCGTATCGCCACCAGTAGCAATTATTATTTATAACCCTTCTATGTCCCTACTATTGACCAATCAGCTTCCACCTCTCATATCACTTGCATTTGTTTCAAACAGAATGGCGGCGCCCACACAAGAGGATCTGATCGATAATCAAGATCAAGAAACGGGTCACAACTCGCAAAGTGTATTAAATTACTTGAGCACCTTGATTGAACACAAAAGAAAATTTTGAAAATATCTGTCGACCCCCATTTGATTGGACACATGCTCTGCAAATCCTGCAGTCGACGGACGTCTGCACGGTGATGTCCATGTTGTTTTAGAAACGGATGTCTAGGTCGTTACGCGATTGTGATTGGACTATGTATAGACTCGTAAGTCCAGCCACAATGTAACGAAGAGTACAGCCTAGTTCGGCAAGGGTGGAAACTGGACTTTTATAGTCAGTTAAGGCCCTTGATTCGGGAAGATGCACCAACCCGAACGGCATGCATGTATGATAGCTTCAGTACAGTCACTGTCATCAATTTGCATCCTTATTGTATGTTCAGATAGCGCCCTGTCATCTGGCGAGATTTCCTATTTCCGTCTGACTGTATTTATCTTTCCTGTGAGCTGTTCACATGTTTCCTTCTCAGACACATTCAACCTTACATTTGGCTCATGGTATGCGAGGCAATTGCGAGCGTTGGTTGACAGACATAGTCAGGCTCTTCAAGGTAGGATAAACGTATGCCATTAATATGCACTCATCGATGTGTATTTCATGCATGAACAGAAATAATGTTTCACATTTGTGTTTACACTCGTCTATTGAGATTGCTAAATTGTTTCAGTAAAGCTTTCAAAAATTGTATGGTATACATGTTGAGGACATTTCCAAATTCGTTTTATCAGTGACAAAAATGATGTCCGATCCCATTCCCTATTTTGATTTATACCATATGTTCCCGTGTTTTATCAGGTGAATACTTGATTTGTCTTTGCATGTGTTTGTGATGGATGCCACCTTTTCTGGAACGACTAGTAACATCATTATTTGATAGTGATTCATAAACACATGCTCATGATATAGTAGGTATGGTACAGTCGACTCTGCTTTTGACTGAGAGCTCTTATGAACATGGAAAGGGTTTGGTCGCCTTTATTTATTATTATGTTGCTCGAACTTACAGACCTCGTGTCGCACAGCTTCGTCTCATGAATGTAAATGCACTTTCGATTGGTTTTGTTACAGATGCCGTGCTGGGATAAATGCGTTGGGGCGGTAATGTATTAATTTGTTGATAAAAGTGAGACGTGTTTTACGACTCCATCAGAAATGTATACATATATATAACGGCGGCCTGTAAATATACATGTCGTCTGAATCAGGCAAACCCGCGACTGAAAAAATGACACGCACTTAGGTGACTAGACCCCATTTCACAAAGTCACCGTAGAGCTAAGACTAACGTAAAGCTATATGAGTCGTATATACGACAGTCGTATACTCACTTTGTATAACGGTACCAAGCCGGCTTGTAATCAGTAGAATCTGGACAAGAGTCTGCGACTGAAAGACCATGTGATCCAGATGAGAGTCACAATGGTAGCCACTATGATAGCCATTGATGCTGGATCCGTGAAGATCTGGGGTAGCATGGGTCTTCAGCAACCAATACTTGCCGTAAGAGGCGACTATGCTTGTCGTAAGAGACGACTAACGGGATTGGGTGGTCAGGCTCGCTTAATTGGTTGGTGCATGGCATCGTATCCCAATTGTGTGGATCAATGCTCACGATGTCCTTGTCTGGTCCAGACTCCGTTATTTACAGACTGCCGATAGCTACACAGAACTGAAACATGGCAAAGTGATATGTAGATAGGTACACAGAACTGAAACATGGCAAAGTGATATGTAGATAGGTACACAGAACTGAAACATGGCAAAGTGATATGTAGATAGGTACACAGAACTGAAACATGGCAAAGTGATATGTAGATAGGTACACAGAACTGAAACATGGCAAAGTGATATGTAGATAGGTACACAGAACTGAAACATGGCAAAGTGATATGTAGATAGGTACACAGAACTGAAACATGGCAAAGTGATATGTAGATAGGTACACAGAACTGAAACACGGCAAAGTGATATGTAGATAGGTACACAGAACTGAAGCATGACAAAGTGATATGTAGATAGGTACACCGAACTGAAACATGGCAAAGTGATATGTAGATAGGTACACCGAACTGAAACATGGCAAAGTGATATGTAGATAGGTACACCGAACTGAAACATGGCAAAGTGATATGTAGATAGGTACACAGAACTGAAACATGACAAAGTGATATGTAGATAGGTACACCGAACTGAAACATGGCAAAGTGATATGTAGATAGGTACACCGAACTGAAACATGGCAAAGTGATATGTAGATAGGTACACAGAACTGAAACATGGCAAAGTTATATATAGATAGGTACACAAATCTGAAACATGGCAAAGTGATATGTAGATAGGTACACCGAACTGAAACATGGCAAAGTGATATGTAGATAGGTACACAGAACTGAAACATGGCAAAGTGATATGTAGATAGGTACACAGAACTGAAACATGGCAAAGTGATATGTAGATAGGTACACAGAACTTAAACATGACAAAGTGATATGTAGATAGGTACACAGAACTGAAACATGACAAAGTGATATGTAGATAGGTACACCGAACTGAAACATGGCAAAGTGATATGTAGATAGGTACACAGAACTGAAACATAGCAAAGTGATATGTAGATAGGTACACCGAACTGAAACATGGCAAAGTGATATGTAGATAGGTACACAGAACTGAAACATGGCAAAGTGATATGTAGATAGGTACACAAAACTGAAACATGGCAAAGTGATATGTAGATAGGTACACCGAACTGAAACATGGCAAAGTGATATGTAGATAGGTACACCGAACTGAAACATGGCAAAGTGATATGTAGATAGGTACACAGAACTGAAACATGGCAAAGTGATATGTAGATAGGTACACAGGTTCGACTTCTGCTCGGACCTCGGTCACTCGACAATTATTCATTATTTTACACAGATTGTCAGAAGGGCTGTATTCCTGGTAGCAAATCCGGGTACTCTCCCAATGTCAGTCAACAGTTTTGGAGGTACCAAACCTAAGGCACCGTGAACAATTGGGAGTCGGACAACTTGGTACTTGGGATGCATGCGTTTTCAAAGCTAGGTCTGCATATTTGCCATGTTTTACCTGAATCTTGCCAATCACATTTGTGTCAAAAGGTACAGACAATTCAATAATATAAATGATTTCATTGGATTTATCAAAAAGGACAAGATCAGGTTTGTTGTCTACGTTTGTATTTCTCATTTTCCATGAAGCCCTCTACATATTCTGGGTCGTACCATGGATGGACCTCTGTGTCAAAACCACAAGCATGGCGAAGACAGTAATACAATCTTATCGCTTAAGATATTGTGTTTGTGCCAAAGCAGGGCATCCACTGACAGTATGTTGAACATTCTCTTAAATTCATTACATAATCTACATTTCATAATTTATTTACATTTTGAAGCAAAATCACACATTGACGGTTCCGAGTGGGAAGTGACTTTTCAGGCCAGCCGACTTCATCCTGAAGGGTCACTTATTTTCTCAACACACTGCACATAAACTCGATGCATTGGTCGTTCTGATAGCGTCTCCTTGAAAAACTGAGTCTGGGCCGATTTTCGATGACTCTTCGCTTGGTTGACACTCATTTCTGTACTGTCCAGCAGTACAGAACCATCAACAAAATCAACATTGACATTGAGATTATGTCCCACATCCTTGGCTAGCTTAAGAGCGAGGGTGGTGGGATCTATTGTCTGACATGATTCTTCGTGTGAAGGTGTCAATGTTCTGAATTTCTTGTTTCATCCCTTTATTAACAACAAAAGAATCTTAAAGGACAGGTTTATTATTTATTTTTATTTTTAACATTTTTATTATTTAACATTGTGCTTCGCCATAGCTTCGTCCTGGAAGTGACCTCAGTATCTCCATCTCCACATCTCTCTCATCAGAAACATCGCACGAGATTTCTCTCGTTAGTTGGTGTAATTTGAATGGTAGGCTGTTTAAATCGTCGCGTATCCTGAATCGGACTCACGACGAAGGTGTAGTAGTGAATGATCATGCGTATTTATCATTGAGGAAAGAAGTGAGTAAATAGATCAATTTAACGCCTTTTATTTATTTTTTGCAGTGTGGCGTGTGTTTGCTGATGGTAATGTACACATTTTAATAACTCATACGAAAACAAGATTTACATTAACGGTCAAATGTTTGATCAACCATGTACAGTTAAACTTTCGGTAAGCATGTAAAAAGCATGTGCAGGAATGCAGCTATCATTTCATAACGAAATCATAATCGTTTGATAGGCATTACTTAGAAGTTGGCGGATGACAAAGAAGACACATGGTATTGATAACAACTTCTTTATTTACTACCCAAGTTGAATTGGGTCTACTTTGAAATCATAATCATTTTTAAGAATGACTTTAAGAGTATCTAGTTAAGTTGTGAACACATTTGCTGAAATGGTGCTCGTTTTCATTTTTTCAGACGATTGCACATTTATGCGCTTGCTGTTTACCGCGAGTACGTATACATGTCACCTATTCTGAAATATGGAACATTTAACCGTAATAAATCATGTTATAAACTTTCACGTAAACAGTGGAATAACCTTTACAGTCTCTTTTCTCTTTGATAAGTTTGTATGACGATACAGCGGTTTTGTAAACATGCACATACTGCAAGTTATGATATCCTGTGTTTTATTAACACGAAGTTGGATATTGACATTGTGTTGTTTTTAAGAATCACATGTACTTGTTTAACATGTATCAGATGCATGCAAACCTGTTCCTACATGAAAACTGAAAAACAAATTTATGGGATGGAAACACGCATATACAACAGCATGACAAACACACCTGCTTTGTTTGCACAAAATATATGAGATGTATAAATGATATGTATGTATATTCAAGCAATATCACGGCGAGAGACGCCTTAACTTGGTTTCACATGTTGTACACATGGAGGACATCGGTCCCGGACCTTTAACATCGACCATTCTAACCGTAAGGCAATCCCAACGTCCTTTATACAAAAATCAATTATACTAAAGCTATGTTCTGTTGCAGAGAATTGGTGGGAAAAAGAAGTCGGCTGACCGTTCATTTGACAAATCGGTAATTTCGTTAACATAGATATACACATATATTTATTGTTATTGTAAGCATTACCAAGATATTCGTTATAAAAAGAACATTTGTTTAGAATATTCAAATGTTTATACCGGGACCATCTTCTTTTATCGAGTGTATTATATCTCCATTTTATTATGATAAATATCTTGAACCCATTCACCACCATAAAGCTTCATGTCGGAAGTGACGTCACCATCTCCAATTCTCGCTAATATGAGTAATTTGACAAAGTGGCTATTATTAGCATCTCGCCATCTGATTCGGGCTCTAAAGGACGCTATGGTGCGGTGCATCTCCAGGGTAGACATAACAGATTATAATACACTTGATAATCGAGGATGTATTGGATGTACATGCGCGTATAGATGAAGAATGGATTGTTCCTCAACATGTGCTTGATTGTGAGAAGTGTTGTTATTAGTTTACAGAATGTACATGTTTCAATGTTCACAGAAACGAACAGGTGGACTCAGCTTCTAATTGCTGGTAAAACTGTTCAAACAAATATTTCTATGTTCAAAATCTTGAGAGAGTGAGGAGTCTCAGGTCTCAGACGTTAACCACTTCGGTGAAACCCACGAGCAAGGGTATGGTGCTGACAAACCTAGAAACATAATCGGGGCGAACAGGGATTCGAACCCACAAGTCATAGGTTTCTGGCGTGCCAAGAGACGCAACTCTACACAGCGAATCGCGGCGCCTTAGACGACTGGGCCACCCGTGCCCCCGTCTTGAGAGAAGCAAAATGTATACACTTATTTTCAATCCGTTCTTTTCTTCCGTAAAATGGACAAAATAAGAAGTGATCAAGCAAACGCGGGAGAGGGATAGTTAATAAACTGACTTTCAATGTTATCGTGTGAATATAACCTAAAACCTAAAATAAACAACACAATAGATAAAAGCGACAAAAAATATTTCCATTTTCTGGACCACGTTACACAAAGCGATCTCAGGGCTAAGGCGATCGTAACTTTTAACATAGACTTACATAGACTTTTGAAACGGGGCCCTGGAGCAGTTACAAATTTAATCGACAGCACCCTTTCCATACTCATGAGGAATCTCTGCCTAAAGCAGAGTCCATTATACGATTCTGACTCCATCATAAGAATGTGGCAAGAAACACTATCAAATGGTGATTATACCAGGTGTTCGCTGAAAGGTGAGCGTATCCTGCTCAGGCTGCTCCACCGGTGACACCGTCATAAACACATGCCAATTGTTTACCTGAAACATACACGACAGGAAAACATGGTACAAGTCGAAATAGGGAATTGCAACGGACATCATTTAGTTATTGATGCGTCAAAATTGCAATTGTTTTCACATCTCTTCCCTAATTTTTTGGAAAGATTGGGAAAGATGGGGCCTTGAATTTTGTAACCCTAATCAAATAATTTTGTTGCAGGAGTCTATTATTTATGACGCTCTTTGAAATCTTGGTAGAAAGAGCATGCTCGATTGTGCCTCAAAAGGTGTGAAATGTGAACACCAAAGGCTGGAGGTGCTGGAATATTGCTCGACATGAAGGGAAAGTTGACTGTTGGAAGGTTGAAGTCATCCCTCTTGTCATACAGTCTTGTGGAGAGTTTTTTGTTTTGCTCTGCATCTTTATACATAGATCTAAATGAAAAAAGATGAGACAGTCACTGATCTCTTTTATATTTAATCCTGGTGGGTAAATCAGTGGAAGGGAATTGGCTATTTGACCGTTATTGAACAACACATGCATCGCCATATTTATCAGTATAAATGTGTGTGTGTGTGTTTGTGTGTGTGTGTGTGTGTGTGTTTGTGTTTGTGTGTGTGTGTGTGTGTGTGTGTGTGTGTGTGTGTGTGTGTGTGTGTGTGTCACAGTTTCTGACCACCCGATCCATTTAGTCGCCTTTTACGACCAGCATAACTTGATATGGGTCAATTCTGACTGGGGACTCCTCGGGGGCTATCTGTCAATAAGGAGTGAGTGAGTCGTCTTTTACGTCGCTTCTGGCAGTTCAGCCAAATTTTAACTTCGTCAATGACAATGTTTCAGTTGAGGAACGGGCTTTTCAAGCGAATTCTGTCATGGACCCCATACAATGACAACACAAACACGACGACACTGAAGATTCTCGTCATAGGGCCAGAAGACAGTGGCAAGTCTGCCTTCATTAACAGTCTGGTGTCCATATTCCTGGGGAAAATAATCCACCTTGATGACATGGAACAGGCGAGTAGTGAATGCTTCATGGTCAGTTATTGTACCATGAGAAATGCATTTATTAATGTCAACATTGATCCATAATAAAACATAATTCGAACATTTATAGAGCATTTCACAATCGGAACATGCCACAACTGTCAATGAGTATATGGCTGGTATGACACTGGTTTTTCACATAAATGTTTACTGTTATGTTCATCAAATATGTGTACAATATCAACAGATTGTGTTATGTATAAACCAGTCTGATAAATGTGGTAGAGTACAATACGGTTATAACGAACTCAAAGGGATCACTAATTTTAGTTCGTTATAACCGTAGTTCGTTATAAGCATATTTGCAGAATATATACAGTACATGGTCAGGACAAACAAAATAAGTTCGTTATATCCGGCAGTTCGTTATACGCGTGTTCGTTATAAACGTTTTTACTGTATATGCAAATGAGGTCACCAAGCGGGAACAACTTTAACAAAGCTCTATACATCGATGCGATGTCTACTTCCTCAATACTATTTTGCCTAATGTTCTAAATACGCTCAGATAGTCAACTAAAACGTAGGGATATTTGAAAATAACAGATGCAACCATTACACGAGACTATTGGCGATACCCCATTTTCCTGGCCCTAAACACCACCGGCTTCTGGCTAGAATGTGTCGATTTGTTAACGGTGGTACAAGACGTGATCGCCAAGCCTGCAGTTTTCTAATCGTCTGGTCAGTAACCCGAACTATAGTGGCCTGGTGCAAGTTAACCACAATTTCATCGGCTGTTTTGGGCTCGATTTCCTGGTTTCTGATTAATCGATTCTGGATTTGTGATGTTTCCCTGAGGTTCCCTGGTCGATCATTAACATCTCGAACATCTGCAAATCGCAGACTCCGACAGGTTGAAGATATTGGTGACCCCGTATTTACCAGACTGAAGCATGTCAGTTTCCCTTAGGCGTTCGTCACTTTGTAGAAGAGACATTTCCAATCTGATCACTCATACTGCATTAAAGCCAGATTAGAGAGCTTACGTATTACTGTGGATAATACAATCAATAATGCAATGACTCAGAGCGAGTTGACGACCTTTCACTGAAGCGTCAAAATCAAGAATAATTTACGGTTGGTTGGTTTGTTGCACTAAGCAACATTCCAGCTATATGACGGCGTTCGGTAAATAATCGAGTCTGGACCAGAAAATCCAATGATTAACATCATGAGCATCCATCCACGCAATTGGGATCGATGACATGCATGAACGGAGTCAGCGAGCCTGACCACCCGATCCCGTTAGAGTCCACGTACAATGTATTTGGTGTGTTGGGGCGTTAGGGTTCATGTTCCGAGACCGTTCTTTGTCTGGAAGTCCTTTTCCAAAGCAGATCGTTCTTATGACGACCAAGCATAACCTGTATATTTCATAATCCCCTACTTTTGTTGGAGATTATAAGTAATCAACACTTTGAAAACACAAAGATCGCATTATACTTTTGACGTCCAAATTGTTGTTAATGGCGTTAAGTAGTCGATAGCCTAAAATATCAGGGAATTTCAGCTGCAAATGAAATAAAATGCAACAAACGTAAGATCCTAGTTTGAGTATGACGTACTTGTTTCTCTATATGTTTTAAGAATGCCTATTTCGTTTAAGATGGTATCTTCAATATTCACGTCTTATGTATGCAACGTAATGTGTTTATCAACAGTGCCTCGAGAAAAGGCTTACTCATGGGAGAAAGGCCTTGCCTATAGTCATGTGTGAGTGTAAGGAAACATCAGAAGAAGACAGCTTGTACGATCAAGTCTTAAGGGCGATTGAAGCACAGACGCCAGCCGGAGAAAACGTAAGAGTATTCTGTTCAGTGATACTAATATTACTATCACAACGCTATGAAAATTCATAGCTTCAGATTAATAAGTATGGACGTCAGCTAAACTAGAAATGCATATGCATGAGGATCGGGTGGGCTGGATCCGTGACATGGCTGATTGCTGTAGTATCGACGTGGGTGTCACTCGTGTTACCAAACCCCGAGTTGGTCCAGACCTGATTATTTCACAGGCCGCCGTAATAGAGCTGCAATAATGTTGATTGCGAAAAGCAACATTACACACTTTTAGTAAATGAATAATTTTTATATAACATGGCTAAAATTTACAATTATTATCAAATTATCGTTTAAACACCTCAGTGTCCGTCATCATGTCTTGCTGTAACGACAGTCAGTTTGCTTCAGGTGTCTACAAACACAATGACAATAATGACTGAGGAGGTGGCTCCAGATACGTCATTGGGAGTTATCTTTGTCGTCGATGTTCAGAAGATTGCAGGCTTAATGCAAACAGACTTAGTGGCCAAGTATGATAGCATCGCTGACCTTCTCAAACATTTCGGTAAGTTTTGATTGTTGGTTTGTTTCCTTTTTAACGCTGCACTCAGCAATATTCCATCTATATGACGTCTGTCTGTAAATAATCGACTCTTTGACATCATGAGCATCGATCCACGCAATTGGGATACGATGACATGTATCAACCAAGTCAGCGAGCCTGACCACCCGATCCCGTTAGTCGCCTCTTATGACAAGCATAGTCGCTTTTTACGGCAGACATGGGTTGCTGAAGACCTATTCTAACCCGGTTCTTCACGGGTATTTCGGTAAGTCGTAGCATCGTATGATACTGAGTGGTGGCATCATATAATACTGAGTGGTTGCATCATATGATACTGGGTGGTGGCATCATATGATACTGAGTGGTGGCATCATATGATACAGGTGAGCGAGTTTAGCCCTTTCGAACCCTTTTTTTATTGAAAGTTCACAGCAAAAGCAAAGCCCGTAATGATGAGTTTGCTGTGCAGAGTTGCGTCCCTTATGCGTGCCAGAAACCTATGTGAGTGGCTTCGAGTGAGTGTGAAAGTGTATTTTTACGTCGCGTTTACCACTATTTCGACAATATCACGACGGTGGACACCAGACAAAGGTTTCACACACTGTACCCATGTGTGAAATTGAACCCGGAATTTCGGCGTAACAAGCAAACGCTTAACCTCTAGTTACCCCATCGCCCTCATGGGTTCAAAACAAGTTTGTTGTTGTCAGTACGCGTCCTCGTGGATTTTACCAAAGTTGTACACATCTAAAACTACATCACCACCACATTGAGCGGACACGCCGTGATATAACTAACATAGTGTTTAAAGCGGCGTTAAACAAAATTCACTCACTCACTCAATTAAAGAGCACTGTTTGTAGTTGATAAATAATAATATTATCAATAATATGAATAATAAATATATGTTTCAGATGTTCCAAGGTGTGTGGTTCTGACACATGCTGACATTTTGGAGCCTGATGTACGAGCTGTATTCGGAAATGGAGCTGTGAAAACTGCATTGCTTCAGGCCCAGATGATGTTTGACCTTCCTGAACATGATGTATTTCCCGTGAAGTGCTACACAGACGAGCAGCAGCTTCACCAGAACATGGACATATTGCTTCTTAATGCGTTGGATTCCATTTTAGAAATTCTAGACAGAAATAATGTAACTTGAATATACGGTCATGTTTGTTTAACGTCACTCAACGACATGCTAATTATAAGACGAACGCATGTGGTCGCGTATGTATTCGAACATGGGCCAACATGAGCAAAGTTTCACTCCGTCTTTAAAATATAATATTGTTTGTTTGTTTGATTTATTGTTTAAATTCACACTCAGCAATATTCCAGTTATATGATTGCGGCTGTAAATAATTTTATCTAGATGAGATATCCAGTGATTGAGGGCGGTCGGTTGGTCTTGTGGTTAAAGCGTTCGCTCGTCATGCCGAAGACCCGGGTTCGATTCCCGATATGGGTACAATGTGTAAAGCTCATTTCTAGTGTCCCCGCCGTGATATTGCTGGAATATTGCCAATAGCGGCGTAAAACCATACTCACTCACTCACTTCAGTGATTGAAATTATGAACTACAATCCATTCCGGAGTACAATGACATGCAAATAACCAAGTCACCGAGTGTTACCACCCGATCATCAAGTCACCGAGTGTTACCACCCGATCATCAAGTCACCGAGTGTTACCACCCGATCACCTAGTCACCGAGTGTTACCACCCGATCATCGATATCAAGTCACCGAGTGTGACCACCCGATCACCTAGTCACCGAGTGTTACCACCCGATCATCAAGTCACCGAGTGTTACCACCCGATCACCAAGTCACCGAGTGTTACCAGCCGATCATCAAGTCACCGAGTGTTACCACCCGATCATCACGTCACTGAGTGTTACCACCCGATCATCAAGTCACCGAGTGTTACCACCCGATCACCTAGTCACCGAGTGTTACCACCCGATCATCAAGTCACCGAGTGTTACCACCCGATCATCAAGTCACCGAGTGTTACCACCCGATCATCAAGTCACCGAGTGTTACCACCCGATCATCACGTCAGTGAGTGTTACCACCCGATCATCAAGTCAGTGAGTGTTACCACCCGATCATCAAGTCACCGAGTGTTACCACCCGATCATCAAGTCACCGAGTGTTACCACCCGATCACCAAGTCACCGAGTGTTACCACCCGATCATCAAGTCACCGAGTGTTACCACCCGATCATCACGTCACTGAGTGTTACCACCCGATCATCAAGTCACCGAGTGTTAACACCCGATCACCAAGTCACCGAGTGTTACCACCCGATCATCAAGTCACCGAGTGTTACCACCCGATCATCAAGTCACCGAGTGTTACCACCCGATCATCAAGTCACCGAGTGTTACCACCCGATCATCAAGTCACCGAGTGTTACCACCCGATCATCAAGTCACCGAGTGTTACCGACCGATCATCAAGTCACCGAGTGTTACCACCCGATCACCTAGTCACCGAGTGTTACCACCCGATCATCAAGTCACCGAGTGTTACCACCCGATCATCACGTCACCGAGTGTTACCACCCGATCATCACGTCACCGAGTGTTACCACCCGATCATCAAGTCACCGAGTGTTACCACCCGATCACCAAGTCACCGAGTGTTACCACCCGATCACCTAGTCACCGAGTGTTACCACCCGATCATCAAGTCACCGAGTGTTACCACCCGATCATCAAGTCACCGAGTGTTACCACCCGATCATCACGTCACCGAGTGTTACCACCCGATCATCACGTCACCGAGTGTTACCACCCGATCACCAATTCACCGAGTGTTACCACCCGATCATCAAGTCACCGAGTGTTACCACCCGATCACCTAGTCACCGAGTGTTACCACCCGATCATCAAGTCACCGAGTGTTACCACCCGATCCACCCGACCACTTGTACAACTTGGCAACTTGTAACCCGGAATCCCAAAGAGGATCAAAATTAGATTTACAACAGACTAAAGAGGTTGCTATTGTTTAAAGAAAGATTCACAAGCGAAATGCCATCTTTAATATTGATAATTATCAATTATAGTTACCAATCAACCTACATGTAGCCTAGTGGTTAAAACGTTCGCTCGTCTCGCCGAAGGCCCATGGATTACAATGTGTGAAGCCCATTTCTAGTGTCCCCCGACATGATATTGCTGAAATATTGCTATAAGTCACTCAATAAATCACGTGTAATTATCATCGATGCTGCAATAAAATGGCTATTTGAACTTTACTTTTTCTTGTATCTACATACATGCGTTATAACTATAACATAGATGCAGAAATATATTTTAAGAAAGGCTGTTTTTTGTTTTCATTAAATTTCTTTTGTGATAACGACCTATTATGTCGCCATGACATGCTCGCATTACAATCTGGGTAATGTAGAAGGCTGCAGCGTTAGTCTTCACATTCTCCGAAAAGGTCTTAGCGTGTTCGAGTAGGCAGCGCTTCCTGAGGGCCCTGAGCTGATGATGAGTCTTACCAGCCTGACTGTGCCAGGATCACCCAAATACTCTTTGCACATAATAATCTATTATCTGAAAGGTATATGAGGTACATTTGCGTGTAGAGAAATATACATGTGTATACAGATAGACACCCGGGGTATATATGTGTATATACAGAAAGGTACATGTTGTGTGTGTGTATATACAGAAAGGTACGTGTTGTATATATGTATATACAGAAAGGTAGATGTGTCTACAGAAAGGTAGATGTGGTATATGTATATATACAGAAAGGTACGTGTTGTATATGTGTATATAAAGAAAGGTACATGCGTCTACAGAAAGTTACATGTGGTATATGTATATATACAGAAAGGTACATATGGTATATCTGCGTCTACAGAAAGTTACATGTGGTATATGTATATATACAGAAAGGTACATATGGTATATCTGCGTATACAGAAAGGAACATTTGGTATATGTGTATATACAGAAAGGAACATGTGGTATATCTGTGGATACAGAAAGGTACATGTGGTATATCTGCGTATACAGAACGGTTCATTTGGTATATGTGTATATACAGAAAGGAACATGTGTTGTATCTGTGGATACAGAAAGGAACATGTGGAATATCTACATATACAGAAAGGAACATGTGGTATATCTGTGGATACAGAAAGAAACATTTGGTGTATTTGTAGATACAGAAAGGTATATGTGGTATATCAGTGGATACAGAAAGGTACATGTGGTAAATCTGCGTATACAGAAAGGTTCATTTGGTTTATGTGTATATACAGAAAGGTACATGTGGTATATCTGCGTATACAGAAAGGAACATGTGGTGTATCTACGTTAGAGAAAGGTACATGTGGTATATCTGCGTATACAGAAAGGAACATTTGGTGTATTTGTAGATACAGAAAGGTACATGTGATATATCTAAGTATACAGAAAGGAACATTGGGTGTATCTGTGGATGCCGAAAGGAACATGTGGTATATCAACGTATACAGAAAGGAACATGTGATATATTTAAGTATACAGAAAGGAACATTGGGTGTATCTGTGGATGCCGAAAGGAACATGTGGTATATCAACGTATACAGAAAGGTACATGTGGTATATCTACGTCGACAACGATTGGTAATCAGGATGCACGAACGTACGGGCCAGTTTATCTAGAATGCTCTTCAGTAATCATTATATTTAAAACATGTCATGATACGTTATCTTAGTTAGTAACATATCACATTCGCAAACAGTAGCGATTTCACACACGTAACTACATCCCTCTCAAGGTAATTTTGTCTTCGTTTCAGATTTTCAATTGCGAATGTATTTGACGTTGTGTTGTGTAAGCAGTGTCATGATGCTTGTTGGTGTTATTGTTTAATAATGTCCATACCAACAACATATTGTCATTATATGGCCGTAACATCGATAGCTTCGGCTTGCGAACAGTGTGATGGATTAGAAGATAAACAAGCCATCTGTGTTTTCAATTTAGCGATCTCGAACGTCAAATATTTTTGGACAAGAATACGAAAATGTACGAGCAAGGATCCTACCACACCTAGACCCACACCAGCCACACACATACACCCTCCACCCACCCACTCCACACACACACATACACCCTCCACCCACCCACTCCACACACACACATACACACTCCACCCACCCACTAAACCCACCCTCCAAACACGCCACCCACACGCCACACACCCACCCACACACACACACACTCCACACACATACTCCACGCACACACTCCACACACACACTCCACACACACACACACACACACTCCACACACATACTCCACGCACACACTCCACACACACACTCCACACACACACACACACATACTCCACACACATACTCCACGCACACACTCCACACACATACACCCTCCACCCAACCACTCCACCCACCCACTCCACCCACCCTCCAAACACGCCACCCACAGACACACAAACTCCACACACACACTCCACACACATACACACTCCACACACACACACACACACACACACACACACACACACACACACACACACACACACACACACACACACACACACAATCCACACACATACTCCACACACACACACACACACACACACACACACAATCCACACACATACTCCACGCACAGACTCCACACACATACACCCTCCACCCACCCACTCCTCCCACCCTCCAAACACGCCACCCACACACACCCACACTCCACACACATACTCCACGCACACGCTCCACGCACACACTCCACACACATACACACACTCCACACTCCACACACACTCCACACACATACTCCACGCACACACTCCACACACACACACACACACTCCACACACACACACACACACACACACACACACACACGCACGCACGCACGCACGCACGCACGCACGCACGCACGCACGCACGCACGCACGCACGCACGCACGCACGCACGCACACACACACACACACACACACGCGCCCTCACAGACAAACACCCTCCACACGCGTATTCGGACTTCTGTAATCGAATGTAGATTTTACGAGTACCATGCCACTGAAGATTTTTTTATTCTTTGATATCTCAAAGTTCACAAGTCATTTCACATTAAAAAAAGTTGCTTGTGAATATCTCGATCTATAGAATTCCTCGACATCGACGCATATAACTATATCTGATTAGACCTGGATGCATTTCATATAGGAGCATTATCAAAATATATTTTTTTGGGTGACGATTTTGACGTTCTGGACCTTAACCTCCACTGGTTTGATGATACGATATCTACACAAGTAGGGGTGGAGAGATAGACTGTAAGTAGTTCTGAATATGTATCACAGACACTAAGGGAATATTTTCAACATAATACATTACATTCAACAGAAATGTTCCGCGAGTTTTTAATCATTTCGACAACCTGTCATCCCAACAATGGACGTAGGATGAGGGGAAATGGGGTTTAACGTCGCGTCCAAGATTATTGCTCTTATATAGCGACGTGCGTGCGTGTACTTGTACTAGTCAGGACTGATGCCGATTTATAGTGCTCGCACACTGAGATACCATGCTGGAGTTTAACAGGAATACCCCACTCAGACACAGTATACTGACTCCGAGCCGACCAGTTCTTATTTTAGTCCCTTAATGCCGAGCGCCATACAGGGTAACAACAAATACCACATTTTAACGTCTTTTGGTTTCGAACCCCGGACCTTCCTCTCTACCACTAGACCACGAAGCCGGTCCCCAACAATGGAAGATGTCATATGCAACATGTTACGAAGTAATTAACTCTATGTCTTTGTAGAGGGGGGTGGTCGGGTAGCCTAGTGGTTAAAGCGTTCGCTCGTCACACCGAAGACCCGGGTTCGAATCCCGACATTGGTACAATGAGTGAAGCCCATTTCTGGTGTCCCCAACCGTGATATTGCTGGAATATTGCTAAAAGCGGCGTAAAATCAAACTCACTCACTCACTCACTCTTTGTAGAGGTTTTAATGCCTTTAAAAAAATCACTATGTATACGTACCCAATATTTTGAACCAGTAGGAACATAAGTAATTAATACTGAAGTAGATTAGATACATGTTATTTAAATCAGCGCGTCTCCAAATTAATTCGGGGCGGTCGGGTAGCCTAGTGGTTAAAGCGTTGGCTCGTCACGCCGAAGACCCGGGTTCGATTCCCGACATGGGTACAATGTGTGAAGCCCATTTCTGGTGTCCCACGCCGTGATATTGCTGGAATATTGCTAAAAGCGGCGTAAAACCATACTCACTCACTCACTCACTCCAAATTAATTCATTGCTTGCAAGCTACTGGCAGATGTGTCATTCCCCCATTTCTACCTTCACAGGACCAGACTTAAGGTCTTGGCGTACAACATGGCAAAACGATTGTCTGCGAAGTTCTCAAGGAATCCGGTAGGTTTCTCTCATTTACTGTTACATTGAGTGATTTGGTTTATCGCCGCTTTTACCAATATTCCAGGTATACCACAGTGTGATGCATAATGTGTGAGGAACGCCCGAAGTGATATAGGTCGCATGATCACATATTTTCCACTTTGGTGAAACCCGTGACACGGGTATGGTGCTGACAAACCTAGAAACATAATCAGGGCACCGGCTTCGAACGCTCAATCATTGGTTTCGGGCGTGACCAAGGGACGCAACTCTGCGTATTGCGCCGTCTTAGACGATTGACCTTGCCCTGAGATCACAGTAAGGGTTCTGACATTCCTAAGGGACGTAACTCTTAACAGCGGCGCCTCAGACGACTGGGACTCCCATGTCCCCCTAGACATTATTTTCTTTGCATTACAGGGGGCGCGGCTGGCCCAGTCGTCTCAGGCGCCGCGATTCGCTGTGCAGAGTTGCGTCCCTTGGGCACGCCAGAAACCAATGATTGTGGGTTCGAATCCCTGTTCGCCCCGATTATGTTTCTAGGTTTGTCAGCACCATACCCGTGCTCGTGGGTTTCACCGAAGTGGTAAACGTCTGAGACCTGCATCACTTCGGGCTTTCCTCCCACATTAAGCTGACACGCCGTGATATAACTGTAATACTGTTAAAAGCGGCGTTAAACCCAACTCACTGACTCACTCTTTACATTACATACTTGTTTGTGATAGTACTGGTACAAAGTGGTAGAAAACAATTAACGATACACCCAGTGACACATAAATATTGTTTGTAGGACTGGAGGGGACATCCGCCTTTTACGGAAGAGGTAAATATGTATTGAATATTAACAAATATGTATTTTTCAAATACCATTGCGTAATGCTCTTCTAACATATCAACCACTTGCATTTGCACACATTCATATACGTGGTGCGATGTGTATGTTTAGCTTCCCTTGCACATCCTGCTGGCGCTTGGGTCGTTGTTAATAATATCAATCACTGGATTTTCTGGTCCCGATTATTATGTTTGTTTGTTTGTTTGCTTGTGTGTTGTTTAACGCCGCAATACTTTGACATCATGAGCATCGACCCACGGAATTGGGATACAATGACTTGTACCAACCAAGTAAGCGAGCCTGACCACCCGATCCCGTTAGTCGCCTCTTACGACAAGTACAGTCGCCTTTTACGGCAAGCATGGGTTGCTGAAGACCTATTCTATCCCGGACACGTGCTATTAGGAATATTGCAAGTTTCACGCAAGTATAATCATTTGAAAACATATCACCTATATTCTGCACTTTATCTGCGCCACTGTCTATGTTATGGTACCCAAGGGTTAAGATAGAAAAAGCTGAAACAAGAGCGAATCATATGAACAAAAGGGACTTCTTCCATTTTTTCCTTGTACATTATATGCGTCGCTATATGGCTGAAATAATGCCGATGCGACGTTAGCTTATAACTCACTAACTTATATGATATGCGACATGACTTCATCCGGCAGAGGGAGTATACATGTAGGTTGATTTTCTTACCCGGAATCCCCAAGATCTATATCAATGGTGCTTAGGTAGGTTAGCTTTGCTCAGTGTTTCGTTTGTTTCAGACACGTCATGAACTATTGGAGTACGTGACATCATGGAGACCAAGTGAGCTCGTACAAAAAACATATGGACAAAAGGCTATTCGGTTGCTGATTTTCGGCCCATCAGGTCACGGGAAGTCCTCCTTCATCTCAAGCATTAAGTCGTGTCTTGATGGAGAGATTGGGCAGGGGGCTGTTGTTGGAGAGGGGATGGCACAAGTCAGCCGACAGGTACTTACCAATGGGCGATCTATTTGCAATTAATCGTTCACCTTTTATTAGCTACGTCACTGCTGGGCCTGCGGATCAACTCGTAAGAAAAGTATGCCAGTACTGACCTAAATCTTACATGGGATTTGTTTGTTTATTTGTTTGTTGTCACTCTGGCACAGCTACTGCGTTTTGTGTAGGGACATATATGTCGAAATGGCATCCAGGGGTTAACGCCGCACTAAGCAATATTCCAGCTATATGACGGCGGTCTGTAAATTATCGAGTCTGGACCAGACAATCCAGTGACTGACATCATGAGCATCGATCCACGCAATTGGGATACGATGACATGCATCAACTAAGTCAGCAAGCCTGACCACCCGATCCCGTTAGTCGCCTTTTACGACAAGCATAGTCGCCTTTTACGGCAAACATGGGTTGCTGAAGACCTTTCCTACCCCGAGTCTTCAAGGGTTGCATTGTAGTATGTTTAGTGTTCGCTACCGCAACAGACAGATGTGAGGACATCCCATTACTGGTCACGTCAGAACGACCGTTTGGGAACTTTGACCCAACAGTGAAATGACTAGCATGAATTTGACATTAGCCATTCAGAAAAGAAGCGTTCTCTCTGTTTATGGGACCAGTTTTAAACTGACGAATTCCATTCCAGATTATGAAGTGAAAAATTTCGATTCAAAATTTGAAAACTGAGAAAAAAGAAAATTCTAATAGAAAGAGGAGGTGGTATAATATTCCTGAAAATATGCCGTTCAAATTTCAGCCCGTGGGGATTCCGGGAAAATATATACGTTCCCAGCAACCTATGCTATGCTTGTCGTAGGAGGCGATTTTACAGATCGGGTGGTGAGTTGATCGCAGATAGATGCTCATGATGTCGATCACTGGATTGTCTAATTGAATTTGGAACCGAACGCGCAGCGTGAGGTTTCAAATGTTAAATTTAGCGCGGTTAAATCTACAGGTAACCTAGCTCTACATTGAAAACACAATATGTTTATCTCCATTCTTCCATGACTAAACAAAACGCGAACTCTTTGGTGCCAGCAAATATACTGAGTGAAGCGGCATGGGTTGAGTTCAGTGTTTTGAGTGGGTTATCGATCTGAATTACGGAATCACCGAACAAAATATGGTGCTGTATATCCTCAAGCAGTTTGTTAACACCGTAATACTTCACTCGAACATATGACAGGCATTGAAAGCATATAACTTAGTAAGCTAACATGTGGTGGGCATCCCTAAAGAAAACAAAGCAAGCTTTTCAAGGCTTTCGCTCTACATTGCACGTCACCATTATGACGTCATATCGCTCATTGTGACGCAAAAAATATGACGTCACAGTCGTATATAGAAAAGCGCCAAAATTCCAAGCTCTCTGTTGTCTCCAAAACGTAAACACATTCCCTTTGTTGATTTCTGTCGTGTTTTTCTGCACGAAATGTATTGCCACACATCCTTTGAATATTGTAGTAACCGCATCTGTTCATTTTGTAACCTGTAATTGTAGATATAATTATTGAAATATGTCTACCGACAATGCCTGAAAATAGTACTATTCTATGAATATTAGCTTCGACGGTGATGCGGCCGTCAAACCAGCTGTTTTAATCAGAGGGGGTTTATTGTGATTTAATAGCCTCTGATTGACCAATCAGAATCGAGTAAATTCCAAATTCATGGTAGAATAGTGGCTAGTATGAGGTTAAATAACAAAGAAAACTTAACTCATGCTTAATGTAAACGAACGATTTGTCACAAACTGATAGCAGTTTCTATCACGCTTCAGTACAACGAACATCCGATGATATACAAGGGGGAAGACCTACCGTTCGTGTTGTGTGACTCCCGGGGCCTGCACGAGGAAGGAGGAGGCGCTGGGATTGATGGGATCCGGATGATTATTACTGGACAATTTCAACAAGGAGAAATTGTAGGCTGTTGCAACATTTTAGTTCCATTTTTTGCACGTCCTCAATACAAGTATATCTGAGATGTTAATATAGCATTATTATCTATATAGTTGCTGTAAACCTTTACATAAATGATGGGGGAGTGACAGCCTAGTGGTTACGTTGGGGCCACATTCTGAAGGCACGGGTTCGCATGTGTCTTAAATGAAACAGAAGAGGGGTGGTTGAAGTGTGCTGAGCCTAACTACGAAGGATGTATGGTATAGTCTTAACAGTTTTCATGTATTCAAAGTATACGAAAGTTTCCAGGCTGCATTTGAACCAAATACACACCCAGACAGCGTATTTTTTCATCAAATATTTTCAAATAGTTTATTCGGATAAGATAAACCTTTGCACATGGACAGGTGGGATAACTGTTATTCTATCTCAATACAATATTCATGATACACGATATGATACTGATTTCTTTTCAAATAGATAGAGGTTATCATGCGTGTGTGTTTGGGGATGGTAAATATCCTGCATTAGGAATAAATACTTTGTCAAAGGGAAGCTACTCTAATCCTAGTCTATGAGACGTCATGGCCATGGTCAGACGTTGTTGACAGTCGGTCTGTCCTGTCATAACGTTAAGAAGTGTAGTCAGATGTACACACAGCGACAAAACGAAACAAGGTAACAATTCAAACATATTTCGGCCAAATCCAACTTTTTTAATTTGTGGAGAAAGGTTCAAGCCGCAGAGGTCTACAAGCACAGATATGGCTACTGATCCCGCTTGGCTAGGCCTCGTGCCCTCGCTAAATTGTGTCGAAATTTATATCTCCAAAGTTGCCAAAACTAGCCTTACACAGTCACAAGTCACAGTTAGACACTGATTTTCAGTATATTAGACTTCTTTTGATAATGAAAGCAATTATCTCTGTAGTTTATCCAGATTCCCGATGGTTAATTCTGACTCGATCGCCGAATGACGAGGGCGACGCAATGTTTCTTTATAAACAGTGAAAGTAGTCCCTACTTGACCTTTGATATTTGCATCTCTATCCGCATCTGACCCCAACGGATATCATTTTTATCCGTTGGCTTTATCCTGCCGAGAAACCTACCCATTAAATGATAAACAGCAATATTTTTAATTAGCTTTTCATTTTTTGTTGCTACTAGTTGATTATTTTTTGCCCGTGATGGATACTTGTAATAGTAGCTTGGGATGTAGAGGGTTATTCCAAAAGCCTTCCATGTGGACATGGTATCAACTTTAGGGAACGATACTCCTTTCCTTGTCACTGTTGTACGATTGGCAGTGGAGATTTAAGAGGGAAAGAGAGAAGATCCCGAATTAGGAAGACCTTCAACTGCCACAATTAAGGAAAATGTTGTAAAAAATATGATAGGAACATGTGGATGATCGACGACTCAAAACATGAAAGAGTTGAGAACATTCTGAAGAATGAACTGGAAATGACAAAGGTTACAACACTCTGGGTTCCAAGGCTTTTCATTCCTGATCAGAACCACCCTAGATTGTATTGTGATAATATACATCGTTTGAAAGCAGACTGATATTATGCGATTTGTAACTATGGACGAGTCTTGGGTTCATCTCTATCAACCAGAGACTACACTAACGGCAAGGTGATGGCTTCGGTTTTATGGGATTCCAAAGGACTCCAACTGGTGGACTACCTCCCCAAAAGGTCCGACCTGATCAGAAACACCCCAGATTGTATTGTGATAATTTACGTCGTTCGAAAGCAGACTGATATTGTGCGATTTGTGACCATGGACGAGTCTTGGGTTCATCTCTATCAGCCAGAGACCACACTAACGGCAAGGTGATGGCTTCGGTTTTATGGGATTCCAAAGGAGTTCCACTGGTGGACTGCCTCCCCAAAAGGTCAGACCATCAATGGCCAACATTACACAAATAAGCTCAGGACACTTAGTGAGAATGTCAAGACTCTTCGTCGTGGAAACTCACTTAAAGATGTGTTTGTTTCCACCAGGTCATTGCACGTGTCAGTTGTCGCCATCGTTGCGATGCAAGGCTGTGGGTTTCAATTCACTAAACGCCCTCCGTGTTCACCAGATTTGGCACCGTGAGATTTCCAATACGTGGCAAGCATTATGCAAATGAGGATGGCATTTCTGCTGTAGAGGACTTTTTACATCTCCAGAACGAAACCTTCTACAAAGGTGGATCCAGGCAGCATCGTTGACAAAAGTGTGTGGACCTCGCAGGGGAATATGTTGAAAATAATTAGCAACCTACTTCATCGTAGTTAGGCTCAGAGCCGTTCAACCGTCCCTGTAATACATTAATATTCTCTCATTGTAATCTAAATAATGAATAATCATTATACGTCATTTAGCTGAAATATTGCTCAGAACGGCGTAAGACAACGCACAAACAAACAAATACGTTCCAAGTGATACCTCCTATGCTTAAAAACCTCGGACGTGGTTCCGATTAATGGTGTGTTGTTTTTTCTTCAAGATGCCAACCCACGAGGAAATGATAATTGACCCAGTAATGCCTTTCAAAGCTACGGATCTTCCCTTGGGGATAATCTTTGTTGTTGATGCAACAAAGTCAGACATGCTCTGGTCAAAACTTTCATTCAGATTGTATCTAGAAAAGATCATCGATTTCCTCAATGACAATGGTAAGAATCAACATTATGGAAACAAATATATCATTCACTGGGTGAACAAGAAACACCTCATGATTACCACCACTTTATCGTAATGTCCACGATACGGAACACATCAGTACGAGTTTATGAACTGGTGACACAATGTCATACAGCGCTGCATTTCGCTGTGTGTACTGACGCTGCCAGAATTGGTACAATCCAAGAATCACGGTTACAATTCTTGGTCTGGCAAAGCCATACCAGTGATAATTGGTTTTACGAAACAATAGCAAGTGTCTGTGATAGTATTAACTGCTGTCTTTTCCGTGATGCAAGTACACCCAATCTCAAATTTTAAAAACTTCAATACCAGTCTTGTTCCATTTTTTGCAAGAAGAGAAGAGTAACACTAACTAATAAGGATGCCTAACAAAAAATCCTTTTCTTAATTTCAGAGAATTCCCCGATGCGTTGTTATGACACACACTGATGCTGTGGTTACATCTGACTTAAAGAGAAGAGAAACACAATTTTGAAACTAATATTGATGGTCTAACAAAAATCCTTTTCTTAATTTCAGAAATTCCCCGATGCGTTGTTATGACACACACTGATGCTGTGGTTTCATCTGACTTGAAGACGACGTTCTCGAATAAGCTACTCGAAAGTGCAGCCGTTTCAGCCGGAAACCTTTTCCGTGTACCTAAGAATAATGTGTACCCTGTTAAATGTTACACAGAAGAAACGGGGACAAAAAAGAAGGTTGACATCTTGCTGTTATGTGCCTTAAAGGGCATACTGATTGCTGCTAGGCATAGGGCGGAGTTCATAGCGAGATTAAATACGCGATCACAAATACGAGACCACGGGTTCGAGCCTCGAGGCAGACGTGCTTCTTATATTTAAATACAGATATAATCCACATTGGAGCCAGGACATAGGTGAAACTATTTTCGGTAATTCTCACTGAGCTTTATGTTTGGTTTCTTGCTGATCGTCCAGTTCGGTCCAGTTGTTTTATTGTTTGCGACGACCCGCATAGCAGCATGTCGTCATATCAAGGCATTTTCGCAAATGACTAATTATATACTAAACATACGCCATGCATTGTACATGGCGTCACAAATGATTTACGTGACGTTCCAACAATAATCTCACGGAGCCAATACCCCATTTGAGAAACCCATCGTTTTCTACATCACTCAGACAATGACAGTGGGTAATATATACAAAATAAACATACTCGTGGATTCTAATTCCGGATTATCTAAGTCCCTCGACAATGCTCGGAATTTGCAAAATACATTCACTTTAGGAGTCAGAAAAGGGGGAATGTATCAAACCAAAACAAAACGTTCAACATTATCAACAGCCAAAAGCAATTATCCCCCAAAACTAGTCCTAAATATGATTCAGTTGCTTAATTGTTTTCTAAGTGCGGTGATCAACGCTGTCGTACTTGAAGTAACATAATTAAAGGATGTTCTGTGCAAAATATGCATTATGATAAAAAAAAAATGTCATTGACGTTATTTGCAGTGGTGGTAATGAAAAGTATATCGGGAAAACGGAACTGAAATTAAACAAGCGAAACAATCTGTTCCGCTCGCAGATAAAATAGTCACCTCACGGAACTATTCCACTTAAAAACATGTAGATAAAATGGAAGAGACCATTTTTATGTTTTCCTGTTCACAATTATGATGATAAACCACATTACCACAAAAAGAACAGCATGTAATCCATTAATATGCGCCAAAAGTAAGTGTAAAGTCAAACATTCACTATTCCGTTGTACCTTGTATTGTGACGACACAGTCCAACTACTCTGATGTCATGAGATTACTAAGCAACGTCCTTTTGTCTGTTTTTCAGCTTACACAATGTGTATTGTTCTAGAGTCGTTTCTGCTTCAAGTTCTCAACATTTTCCATACATTGTGTTTGATAGTTTTCTGTGATTAAGTTGGATCTGACAGTCAGAAGTACAAATATATACATGATATTGTTTTATCCATGACGTAGATTCATAAACAAAACGTTCAGAAAGTAGCTATGTCAATCACGCCTTAGTTCTGTCATAACATTGTTCTAGGGTTAATAGTTATGTCAACGAAAGACGTTCGTTGCAACAATATAGTGACGTCATAAGAATAGTTTATGAGAACACAAAGTTCTCACAAACTATAAGCTTTTTAAAGTAAAAGTAGACATGAAGAATATAAATAACATTGTGATGAATTTATGTGCTGCAGCTGTTGTTCGATATTTTACTGCAGAGGTTGTGCGTACATTGCATTGACATAAATTAAAATACAGTTTGTAAATTATGTAACCAGTCCTGTGTAAGTCACATGTATATATAAACATGTATGTATAAAATGGTTGCTGAGTAATGTTTTTTTAATTTTGGTTACCATGTTTCATTAAATTGTTACTGTGTTACTGTTTTATTGATTCGAGCGAACGTGTGAGAGCGAGGCGTGTAAAAGTCACGTTTCAGAAAATAAAATTTCCCTCTGACATGTTTCATTGATATCCTCAGGGACACTAGGGAAGGATGCAAGTATGGTAAAAAAGTAAGTTTTTTGTATTAGCATCTATGATCTCCCCGTCGGGAGGCCGTGGTACGGTACATGTAAGTCACCAGCAAAGTATGCTGTCCGTAGGCTCAGACTCGTTTGGTTGTACCTCATCGCACCCCCTTAGCGTGTGGGGCTGCTCATGATATCAATCACTGGTTCGTCCAGACTCAATTATTTTGTGGCCGTCGCCTGAAAGCTAGAATATTGGTGCGTCCGGTGTTAAACAACAAGCAAACATGTCGATGTTTAATCGATCATCCCGTGCTTCTCCAAACTAATTATCAATCTTGAAACTGCAACCAAAGTATGAATATCGGTATGATGTTTCTGGCTTATTAAAAGAGGGTTCATAGAGCCTTTTGGTCTCACACAGAAGGAATTTCGTTGTAGTGATTTTGTTGTTGTGGATATTACAGAAAGTCATAGAAGTATATTCACAATAATGTTGATTGAATTGAGCAAATTGTTTCACATTGACAAGTAAAAGGGGGTAACATAGCAATATTGTGGGCAGACAAGAAGATGACTTCTACGAAACAGGTAAAAATCCTTCCAATATCGTTGGAAAGATGTGTATCAATGAGAAAGGGAATTATGTTGAAAAAATAAATTGAATGTCTTTATTTGTCTGTTGTTTAACGCCGAACTCAGCAATATTCCAGCTATATGACGGCGGTCTGTAAATAATCAAGTCTGGACCAGACAATCCAGTGATTAATATCATGAGCATCGATCCACGCAATTGGGATCGATGACATGGATCAACCAAGTCAGCGAGCCTTACCACCCGATCCCGTTATTCGCCTTTTACGACAAGCATAGTCGCCTTTTATGGCAAGCATGGGTTGCTGAAGACTTATTCTATCCCGGATCTTCTTGAGTCGAGTCTTTCTTTGTGAGGCTCAACCACCTTTCATATATTGATTGGAAAAGAGCCACAGTAAATTGTATCACTATTGTGTTTGGAAGGGAAACACGTGTGTATACCGAGACTGTTTTGCAATGTAGATAAATATACATGTAATATGATTTTCATTCGGTGTCCTATTTAGTTGATGCAAAGTTTCTTTATTGAAACCGGAATTAAACATTGTCCTACAACAAATATATTATCCCTTAGTTCTAGTTGTTCGGGTATGAGTTTCATCAAAATACAGGAGGCGTGAAGTAATTGATTTTTTCTGAATTTTTCTGACGTGATATATCGCTCTCTTGTTGTGTCTAAGAATATATTGTTTTACCCAGTTCTGTCTATAAATGTTGCAATGGTATTGCCGTCATGCTAGCTTCTGACAGACATTTTCAAACATTTTAATTTGGTTTCGTGTAGCTGTTGTCACTTCATCGTTGATGATCAAAGTCAGCTAAACAATAGAAAAACAATGACCCATAGTATTGACCAAATATAGGTAGCACTGTTATATCATGTACACGGTTGGTTCAGTTTCCCTCATTGATAGGAAAATCAGAATTAGTCGACACAACGAAGTCCATGTTGTCTCTCCGTCGTAGATTTATTTAAGTTAAGTTTGTTGTTTTACGCCGCACTCAGCAATATTCCAGTTATATGACGGCGGTCTGTAAATAGTCGAGTCTGGACGAGACAATACAGTGATTAATATCATGAGCATCGATCCACGCAATTGGGATCGATGACATGCTTCAACCAAGTCAGCGAGCCTGACTAGCCGATCCCGTTTGTCGCCTTTTACGACAAGCATAGTCGCTTTTTACGACAATCATGATTTGCTGAAGATCTATTAAGAGTTCCCTGAACACTACTGTGCATTTAGTCGGTTCCTTCCTGTAATTACATGTAGATTATAAATCATAACAGGAGGTATTGATGTAACAATAGCACTGAAGAGTCGTTTTCTCGTATGTAGCGCTTCTGAAAAGAAGCGGACATAAAATTCACACTATATACCTTGCTTTGAATAATAAATTGAAGGTACGTCTACGTCCACTGTGGAAACTGTCAGCCATGCATGCTGTAATTTTATTTTCATTTACAAACATTATGTAGAGTAATTACACTACGAAACTAGTACTAGATTCATAGATTAAGATCACACTTCCTTTCACTTCCATGGAGGTTTCGTTGCTATATCCACCAATTCGATGGCCTGAACATCTATTATACCATTCTTGGAGCAAAGCCTGCAGAGACCTATGATCGTGGGTTCGAATCCCAGCTCGCCCTGACTCTATTTCTAGCGCTGTGTGGGGTAAGTGGTTTGTTTATTAGGTGATAAAGTGTTTTGGAGTGTATTTGGTTACAAACTTTACTTTGTTTTTTTATTTATTTGTTTTCCAATGCCGCTTCTCCAACTATTAATAACGATCTTTAAATAATAGAGTCTGTGTCTGGCAAGTCGGTTGTTGGTGTTGTGAGCAACGATCCACTTCCACGTGGGTTCGGGATCCGCATTAAACCGAGCCTGACACCCATTGAGTCGCCCCTTACGTCAAGTCGTCAAAGGCCCCGCAATTCGCTGTACAGAGTTACGTCCCTAGGGCACGCCCGAAAACTAATAAGCGTCATAAGAATCCCGATTCGCCCCGATCAATTTTCTAGGTTTGTCAGCACCATACCCGTGTCCGTTGGTGTCACCAAAGCCATAAATGTCTGAGACCTGCATCACTTTGGACTTTCCTCCGACATTAAGCTGATCCGCCGTGGTATAATTGTAATACTGTTCAAAGCGGCGTTAAATCCAACTCAATCACTCTTACGACAAACGCACGTAAATGGACACCAATCCATACCCGGAATCACCACGGTGAACAGACAACTCTCAAGGTACGTCTGTTATGTTATGGTGAAAGATTTTTGAAAATGTCAGATCAAACTATGTTTATGGTCTCTGTTTGGATGAAGAAGCATTTGTCTCTGTTCGGATGAAGAAGCATTTGTCACTGTTAAGATGTTAATACCATACCTGAGTATTCCCTGTTTTGCCGTTCTTTCCCGACAAAGAGCTTTGGAGATAGTGAAGTCACTTCCAAGCGAAGGTTAAATGCCTTCATGTAATAGGTGAGGTGAAATGGGGTTTAACGTCGCGTCCAAGATTATTGCACCTATATAGCGACGTGCATGTACTTGTGTGCGTTTGTGTGGCTGCTTGTACTAGTCCGGACTGATGCCGATTTATAGTGCTAGCTCATTGAGATACCATGCCGCAGTTTAACATGAATACCCCACTCAGACCCAGTATACTGACTCCGAGCCGACCAGTCCTTGTTTTAGCCCCTTAATGCCGAGCGCCAGACAGGGTAACAACAAGTACCATCTTTTAACGTCTTTTGGTATGACGCGGCCGGGATCGAACCCCGTACCTTCCGCTCTCCGGGCGGACGCTCTACCACTTCACCACGGAGGCGGTCCCTCTAATAGGTACGGTGTATTTACTATAACAGAATGGGGACAGTGTGCCATGAGTGATTGACGCTGTGCCAACACGTGCACTGAGAACAGTCACTCATTGTGGGGACAACGTATATTATTATTGTCATAACACAGTGAATTTGTTTTTGGTCAACGCGATTTGTTGCAAAGATTGTGAAGAAATGTACACATTTTATAGATAGTATAATAATAGGTGTTCGTGTGTAGTACGTAATTGTAATATGTTTCTGTGTGTAACAATGTTCTTGTATATGGTGCCTAACGATAGGTATGTTGCCTTTTATAAGGAAGGGGTAGCCTAGTGGTTAAAGAGTTCGCTCGTCAGGCCGAAGACCAGGGTTAGATTCCCCAAATGGGTACAATGTGTGAAGCCCATTTCTGGTGTTCCCCGTCGTGATATTGCTGGAATGTTGGTAAAAGCGGCGAAAAACCATATTCATTCACTCATTTACTCATTTTTTACAAGGAATACTGGATTCTTATTCGCCAAGCAATTTATTTGCCCCTATGATTGTTAGCCCTGTAACGGCCAGTGGAATGACTCATAGGCAATGAAAGGGCTAAAGCTGTTGTAAGAAAATTGTCAAAACTATATTACTATCGAGCTTATACTTTGTTTATATTCATTTAGAGATAAAATGTTGTATTTGTCTGATAAAATATACTCGATATTTCACTTCAGTGATATAACGCTTTTCGAGGAAACCACTTTCAGGCTGCATATATACACCATGGTTGTCAGAGTAAGATATGAAGGATCACTGAAAAAAAACCATAATGAATTCAACCTATGTCTTTTCTTATGATAATAACATATTTTTTCATGTTTTTTTAGAGTTGATATTTTTACTCGTGGGAAGCTGCGCAGCTAATAAAAAAATACTTTCGTCACTCGATGAGATAAACGTGTTATTTGACAAGAAAAGCCAAATACACCCTATGTAGTCTGTCAAAGATTGCAGCTGTTACACTAGTGAGTGAGGAAGGGCTGCGCTTGTCAAAATGTGTGAAAGCGAGTTGCCTCCCTTGCCCCACTGACGTTTGCCAACAAACACATGTTACTGTCACAGTTTTGTCAAACACGCTGTGAAACAACACTTAACCTGGTAACATCAGGTTGAGTTAACAACGTTTTTGCTACTTATTATGTTATTGCAGTAATCCCATACCACGGCGGTGGCACATATGTCGGGGCATCATCACAGGGGGTAGAGGTTTTAATTTAGTCCTCAAGGGTGTCCTAATAAAAAACAGTAGCCAGGAGGTGTAACGTCGCGAGATATTGCGAGACAGGTGTTCCAGGAATGGGATTTATGGACTGTCCATGTAAGAATGAACTCGGACAATTTTGAGCGAACACTTTAAGTAATTGGCTACACCGTCGCTGAAAGGAAAGATTTACCATTCATAGTACCAGTGGCGGCAGTGATAGCAACATCGTCGCCATCTTTTGAGACTGTACCGTCATCAATTAAGTTATCATAATCTCAATAAGCATATTAATAATAAATGTTTCAGCTGATAGTTTA